TCTGACTTTTATGTATTTGTTTGGTTGGCTTTGCTCTGTTTATGTAGTTTTATTATCCTTGTTGATAGTATGTTTGTTTTTATTTTATGGGTGCTATCCATCTCCTATCAATCCTGTTTACTTCTCTTGTTTACTTTTTTGTCTTCAGATAGTTTGGAGTAAAACTTAGAGCTCATACTTATCAAACTTGTAGGGCTGTATGTTTTATATTTCACTGGTCTCATCTTACCCATGGCTTTATGGTTTCTGGAACTTTCTTGCTTTCTTGTTTTCTAATTCTCTTAACTGTTTCTCTTCCTTTTGTTATACTTTTTGAAACCTCCACAATTTGTGTGTGTGCACAGTGTGTGTGTATGTTTAATGAAGGGTGGTGTATGTAAATATATAAAGAGACTCCTTAAATAAAAATAAATAAAACGCTTTATTTCAGGCTAACCTCGATAAACCTGATGAACTATGACTTCATACATGCTACTGTTGAATCTCATTATCTCCCTAGAATGCCCCCTTCTTCTTGTTTCCTTTATAGGCCTGACAGACCTGCTATTTTAAGGTTTAAATGGCACCTCCCTGAGAAATTTCTCATGCCCTCCTTTGATAAATATTTCCCCCATGCTCCCTTGTGCTGTTATTTTAGCAATAAATTTATTTCTATATTTATTTACGTCAGTCTTTAGAACGAGGCTGTGTGTCCCAGGACAGCAGGGAAAGAAGTTAATCTTTCTATCCCAAAGGTCAACATAGTAAATTAACATTTTTGCAAATGTTTGCATTAAAGAACAAAAGAAAACAACCGGGTAAGTGTGTAAGTTGCATAATGCTAAATCCAGAGTCTTGACCAAAGACTTTTGTTAAGGACTTTTTGAGTACTTACCATTTTCCAGGCTCTGTGCTATCAATAGGGGGAAGAATGGGGAGAAAAATTAAAAGTTATTTTCAGAAGGAGTAGACAGCCAAGGGGCATAAAGTTTGACACCAACATCAGATAAATTTTCACTGGTAACACTGTAGAAAGGAAATTATAGCTGGAGATAAAGGGGAATTTCTCTACTTAGTACTATAATGTTAAATGTGCCTTTCTGTTCAAAATAGTTTTGCTGCAGACAGTGTGGTTGTGTAGAAGGAACTAAAAACTTGGAGTCAGAATAGTTGGGTTTGAGACCCTATTTCAACACATCCTAGCTGAATAATCTAGAGAAAAATAACCTACTCTCATTTTTATTTCTGTTTTCTCATCTGTAAAATGAGGACAATGTTGTAAGGATTAAGCGAAGACACACATGCACACACATACACACAGGCTTGCATAAATCATATTGTACTCTACAGTTGTAAACTTTTATCATTACCCTATGATATTCTAACTTTTAAAAAAATCAACAAATTTACAATCAGGTGTGATTTCATTTTTTTCTAATAGTTTTGTGGATTCAGTGCTTGTTGATTTCCCTCAAATATCAATTCCAGGTCATTTTACATGGCAGCCCCAAATCTAGGATTGACCCAGAAGTTCTGTTTGATTTGACCCAGAAGTTCTGGCTGAGATTTAGACTTAATGGAAGAGGAGGAATAAAGGTATGGAGACAAATTCTAAAAGCACTTCATAGACGCAACAAAACACTAAGAAAAATAGAGGCTCACCAATGAAATATCTACACATAATAAGTAACTTTGCCCTACTTCCTGCTCAAAGATGAAACAGTAGCCTGTACAGAGAAGGGCTCCACCTTTGACAAATCCAAGAACGGAAGCATCTTATGGGTAGATCCATGACAGATGGACATTACCTGCCCTTCTAGACTATGGACATCTCTCTTCTTTTCTCTTTTTCTTTTTATGTTTTTCATACTACCTTTGCACATTTCTTAGAAAACCCTCTTTAGATATTGGCAATTCGTGAATTGTTAATTGCATTTCATAGGAAATTTAAAGATGCCCACAGAGTTCAAATTATTTACTAAGTCTAAAAGGCTAGTTAATGGAAGAGCTGGGGGAACTGTCTCTGCTTTTATCCCTGTGTATTGTATATTTCCCCCACATAACATATTTTTAAAAACTTTTCCTTATTCTTTTCTGAACATTTCCATTAAATTTGCGCTTGACTTTCTCCGGGTCCCCATCTGACACTTCAGCTTTTCACTGGGTCTGCTCAGCCTGCTACTGGCAAGTAGGACTAAAGGAGTCTGCCTAGAACTGGCTGCTGTAGACTCTATTCTAATTATAGTTATAACATGTCCCCAAAGACACGCAAACCTCAGTGGGCTACTTCACAGCAGTTGGAGTTTAGAAAGCCAAACAGGTGACACACATTGACTTAGAAGGGAAAACGTTATATACTGAGTCATTATGTACTTGGCCTCTGAATCGGGCCTTCTCTATGAAAAATGCAACAATTTTTGCAGTTAGAGGCTGCAGTCACCTTCATCAGAAGTTACTGGGACATCAGGAGGAGACCATTATCTATAGTCAGGTTGTTATCACCCTGTTTTTCACTTAGACAAACTTACCAGCTTCCTTTAGGTCCCCATCAGGGTTGTACACTAAGGATTTCAACACTCAGCTCATGGAGATGCTTGGTAAGGCTAGGAAAGCAACCTAAGACGTGGTTCTTGCTAAGAAGAGGCTAGCAAGACCCTTGCTTTAAAACAACGTTCTAAAATACTAAGAATAAAGTGAGTAACATGATCAATTCAAAAGTATGTTCACCAAGAAGCAACGTGTAAAAAGAATTAGTGGGTTAGGAAACGAGCAAGCCTGAAAACAGTGATAATGTGCATGAGGATGTGGAACCCCAGAAATTGCCTCCAGCTGTTTTAAGGAGAAAAATAAATATATTAAAATGATATTAGGCTCTTAAGCCTTTTAAAGGAATGACATTCTGATATATTCTACAACATGGATGAACCTTGAAAACATTGTGCTAAATGAAATAAACCAGTTACATGAAAGAAAAAAAATACTGTATAATCCCACTTATTAGGGTACCTAGAATTGGCAAATTCATATGGACAGAAGGTGAAGAAAGGTTATCAGGCCTGGGGGAAGTAGTAATGGGAAGTATTTAATGGGTACAGAATTTCTGTTTGGGATGATGAACAAGTTTTGAAAATGGATAATGGTGTTGGGTACACAGCATTGTGAATGTACTTATGCCACTGAATTGTAAACTTAAAATTGGTTAAAATGGTAAAATTTTTATATATATTTTCAGAAAAACAGCCAGGCTTAAGAAAATGGGCAAAGGAGCCTAACAGACATTTTTCCAAAGAAGACAGACAACAGGTATGTAAAAAAGTGCTCAACCTCATTGATCATCAGGGAAATGCAAATCAAAACCACAGTGAAATATCACCTCACACTTGTTAGGACGGCTAGTATCAAAAAGGCCAGAGGTCAGAAGAGTTGGCGAGGGTGTGGAGAAAAGGGAAACTTTGTGCACTGTTCGTGGGGGTGTTAATTGGTACAGCTGCTATGGAAAACAGTATGAAGATTCCTCCAAAAAATTTAAAATGGAACCACCATATGATTCAACAATTCCACCTCTGGGTATTTATATGAAAAAATTAAAATCAGGGTCTCAGAGAGTTATCTGCAATCCCATGTTCATTGCAGCACTCTTCATAATACCCCAAATGTGGAAACAGTGTAACATCAATGAATGAATGAGTTTTTAAAATGTGGTATATATGTAAAAAGGAATATTATTTGGCCTTTAAAAAGGAAGGAAATCCTGTCAAATGCAACAACATGGGTGAACCTGTAGGACATTATGCTAAATGAAATAAGTGAATTATACAAGGACAAATATTGCATGATTCCATTTATATGAGAGATGTCTGAAATAGGCAAACTCCTGGAAGCAAAGAACAGAATTGTGGTTGCCAGAGGCTGGGAGGGGAAAATGGGGAGTTGCCAATCAATGGGTATAAAATTTCAATTATGCAAGATGAATAAGAACTGGAGAGCTGCTGTCTAATATTGTACTTACAGGTAACAATACTTTGATGTACATTTAAGTATCTGTTAAGAGGACAGATGTCATGTCAAATGTTCTTACCACAAAACATTTTAAAAAATTTGTTTTATAAAAAAGAGTATGGACTTCAACACCAGGTGTGAGAGAGAAAAGAGTTAAATTTTAACAAGGAGATACTTTCATAGTAAACAGCATACCATAATTTTCTTCTGCTTAGGAATTTAGTTTCCATAACAATGTTACTTATTTAGCAGATTAAGAATAGTAATATTGTATTAGTGTTGAGCAGAATAGCAGACTGTCCAGGGCTAATTGCTAAGCAATGTCTAAAGTTGTCATTGGCAAGGGAAGGTCTTTTTCTGGAAGCAATCTATAGCGGTGATGATGAAGGGGAAAGCATGTGCCCTAATAATAGGAGCAGCTACTTTATTAGTCAGGATGGCTTCTGTCACAAATAAGAGCACATTTAACTTGAAATGGCTTAAACAATAAGAAGATTTTATTGGTCATGCAACAGAAGTCCCAAGAAAGTACACGGTGATGCAGGCGGTTACTAATCTACCAGTTCATGACATCATTAAAAGACCAGGTTTTATTCTTTTCATTTTTCTGCTCTATCTTATTCAGTATATCAGCCATGCCCTCATAATCACAACATGGCTGCAACAATACCAGATAGATAGGATATCCAAATAGCCAGAAGGGACAAGGATATCTTTCCTAGAAATTCCCCAGCATATCTCCTGTCTTGCCCATTGGCAAAAAGGGGGGGGGGGAGGGGGGTAGGGTGGGTTAATACACTTACCTCTAAATCAATCAACCACTGGTAAAGGAAATGAGATTATTATGATTGACTTAGAATGATGATAGAGATGTATCCAGGAGATGGTGTTAGGATTATCTTTTTTGTTTAATTTTTTATTTTATATTGGAGTATAGTTGATTTACAATGTTGTCTTAGTTTCAGGTGTACAGCAAAGTGATTTAGTTCTACATATTCATTTATCTATTCTTTTTCAGATTCTTTTCCCATATAGGTTATTACAGAGATGATCTCTTCATGCATGCGTGAAAATGGAAATGCATATGGAAAACTGAACAAAATTTGGCTTCTGAAAAGCAAGAAAGGAGTTTTTGGTAAGGCAACCTACAATGTTTGTTTGTTTGTTCCATCACCAGTCAGCTAAGCTGATGGTTGCTGTGGGCAATGTGATTCCAGTGTTGACAAACCATTTGATTACTTTTAAAATGCTGGAGATCTGGATGTTTATGCAGGATCTCCCAAGTTTTAAATATTGGCAATACATTCAAAACATTAAAAAATACTTTTTGGCCAAAATCATTGAGGCCAAATAAAATAAATCTGCAGTCCAGACACATCCTGCTGGTCAGCAGTTTACAACTTCTGGTTTACGTTATTAATTTATTTAACTAAAACTTAGTTAGAAAGTACTACTAAGTTTCTACTAAAACTACTTAGAAAGTAATGTTCACTTTAAGCTTACCAGTAACTGAATTATACAAATTTCTATGAAAAAACAATTTAATTAATAAAGTCTTAATCAGTTGTAGTGAACTTCCAATGACACAGCTAATAAGAATTCCAGAAGATGATAATGTAGGGTAGGAAAAAGACATGATATAAACCAGAGCATGTTTGTATAATTTTCTTTGTAACTGAGGGTTCTAATTTGACAGTTTCAGGGTTAAAACAGTTAAGCTATTGCTAGTCATCCAATGAGGAGTATACAATTTTCTCCCATCCTTCCCAGTTTCCTGTGATTTCTTGTTTTTTGTTTTCATTAGAGGGTGAATTAATTCCTACTGAATGAGAAAATCAAGGTGCTCAAAACCCTTTAACAAATATTAGTCAACATCACAGTAAAAAAGCAGGGGTGGGGGGTGGGAAAGGTTAGGAAATTCACCTAATTAGAGATTTCAGCTTTATAACTCTTTCTTTAGAGCCATCCTCTTTCCCCTGAGTATAGAGAACAGAAAATTTTAATTCATACAAAGATTATCAAGAGTATGTCTCTCTTGAAAGTTTTATGTCTTCAAAGTATAATCAAGAAATAGTAACGTCCTTGAGTGTCAAGAGCAATATTAGTACATTTCTTTTCCATCCAGATGGTCCAGTCTTCTAAGTTGATCATTTACCCACCAATCCTTGCTTAGCTGTTACTTCAGACTTTTGGATTGGAGCCCTAAAATAAGACAGAACTCTTAAATAATGAACTTTTCCTAAAAATTTAGATATTACATAACTTTGAACTATTAAGAAATTAAAATGATTTCTCTGTAGTCACTCTTCCTATTCTGTAGCTTGATACTTCACAGTGAAGGAGTGGAAACATAAGAGGGTAGAGAAAGGAGAGAAAAACATCACAACTGGGATTCAACTATCCACCCGGCCACTTATCAGTTGTAGAGGGCGGGGCATCAGGAGAATTATGCCATGCTGGGTAATTTTTCTGTGGAGAATTTCCTCCATCTCACTATCCCTGGGTAATTTTTCTGAGAAAACAAAGAATATTGGGGTCATCATCACTTTCTAGCAAAGACCCTTATGTCTTCTTTCTCTTGGTTTTTGTCCAAGCTCAGAAGGAAGACATATACTAGGACCCAAAATATACTCATATAGACACGGTCCTTAGTGAGCATCTTCTAGGAAGCCATGGTTAGCACTTCTGTCATTGATTCTAGGAGGGCTACAAGATTAGAATAGTTTGGTTATAGATCTCTTTTAAGTGTAGATATTGGCTTATCCTTGAAAACAGCAGAGGAAAGTCCTTTTGTGTCTTTATGCTATATTAGGGACAAAAATAATGGGAGGGCGTTAGAAATGCTGTGCAGTTCCCATCTTTGCTATACTTATTTCCTTATTTAAATCCTTCCTACCTCCTTGTCACTTATTTTAAATTCTACCCAACCCTCAGGGTCCAGTACAAATTCCAACCACTTAGTCAATGGACCTTCCTCTTACTTCCCCATTCCTACCCCATTCATTCCCCTCACCATACTTCTCTCAGTAGTATTGCCTGCTTTGGCACACGTAATATATGAGGAGTTAAGTGCTCCATATGCATATGACTTGTTTTCCCACCAAAAATGTAAAAATTATTGAAGAAAATGACCTTAAGTTTTAATTCCTTCTCATGTACTCACAACAAAGTACCAAGTATGAGGGGATATGTTCAGGATCCACTTGAGCGAATGACTACCTGTTACTTCATGAGTGCTTGGCTTTTATTCTGGGTTTGCCTTCATGTGCTCCGTTTTTCATACCCTTCCTCCTCTAGAAAACTGTGAATAATATAGACCTTATTCTGTCTAGAATAAACAAGTACAGTCTAATTTATAATACAATTTTGTATCCTCCAAAATGAGCGTCTAGAAACTAACCTGTGAAGGAGACAGTTCAACTTCTACAGCAGAACCATTTATCATTTCTTAACAATTATGTAACAGTAGAACTATTTTTAACAGTAAAAAATTAATAGCCATTCTAATTTGTAGACAGTGAGTAGGCCTTCTTTCTCAGATATTCCCATGGGCTATGGTATCTCAGGTTAGCTTAGCATATCCTGAAAGGGAACCCAGAGATCTGAAGACACCCTTCACATGGGGCACAAGAGACATTTAAAACACCGTCAGTGACCATCTGATACTTACAAGGAAAGAGAATGACACAGATGTAGGAATCAGCGGTGGAGAAAAATCTGGCTTCGTAATTAGCTAGTAAGAAGGTTAAAAAAAAAAAAATTAAAAAATGGGGCCTCGAAAACAGGTGTGCTTAACGGAAAGGCTTAAATCACTTTCAGAAACGGAGAACTAGGCATCTTCTAAACCTGTACATTTAATTGCTTTCACTAAGGTGCGCACATGCAGTTCAAAAACAAGCTCAATGCCAACAGACATAGGATGAAGACGGCATTCTGTGAAGCAGATCGGTTCTCTTCTTTAATGAATTAGCTTTTCAGACCCAGTAGCTCAGGTTGAAGGGTTAAATTTAGTAGTATAATGGAAAGGCAAGCTCGTATTTCGTCTTTTCAAAACGTTTTGCAGAAGAATCCATATTTTCTATGAATATTCACACAGATCTGAACATTCTCCTGAAGAAATAATTGGGCATTGCGGGTTATGTCTTTCACTAGTATTCCCCTGAGGTGAGATTGGAAGGGATTTTTAAGAGACGTTACCAACTCACAACAGAAGCTGGAGGCGCATCCTTCTCTGCCAGGAGCTCAGGTGTGTCAAGCTTCATCTAAAAAGAAAAAAATAAAATTTTAAAATGGGTTTATATGAAATCATGTGTGTGAAAACTTTGAAAATTGTAAAGCACTATAGAATTTAAAGAATGCTTCATTCAATAAAAATAAATTTTAAAAAACGATCGGTGTCTTAATTTCAGCTTCCAAATAAGCACCCCTTCCTGATGTGAGCTCAGAACTAAGATGACACTAAGAGATTGGATGGAAAATCACAGTGGCCCAGCTGCTGCATTCTGCTGTGTACAGAGCTATCAGAGATGGGTAAGTTTCCATCAAAAACATTATTACCAATGTCATTGTCATTAGGCAATTGCCACTTAAATTTTTAAACTTGCAGGACACAACTAGGGCATTAAGGATTATACATATTACAGGTGTTGTCATACAAGTATACATATTGTCATTATTGGGATATTGCAAAAGGAATAAGGAATCAACCTAGAATCCCACAGAGAGAAAGAGAGAGAGCTGGCATCTGCCCTCCCCTTTCTCTTTATTCTCTTTGCATTTTGTGAACCCCAGCAAAGCAGCCCCTGAATTGTAGAGAGACTCTTTTGCATTGAACAAAAGGCAAAGGTGAACTTTCTGAATGTGTAGTTCAGAGCTCACAGTCCTTGCTACATACTAACTAGTGAGATGGATTTGTAAAACACTGCTGAGTAGAAATGACAGCTAGCTGGTCAGGACAAGACTGAGAGAATCACAAACTGGGACCCAGGGCAAACACAGTACAGACTATGGTTCACCTCTTGGGGTTGAACAGCCTTCGCCGTCTGTGGTTTCCTCTTCTGCTTGTATGGCCCGGTGTCAGTGGTAGACAGTGGCCTGTATGTGAAAACATATCATATAAACTGACTTAGAAATTCCTTCCATGTGAGAGGGAGATTCAAGAGATGTCTGCTAGTGTCCTCTGCCCATTGTTTCATACTTGGTAGTTGACTGGGTTTTCATCTGCTCCCTAGGGCATGCAGGTTTCCTTCTCTTGTAATTAATAATCATTACCACTAATTTTCTTTTCCATTCTCTACCAATCCCTGAAACCTAATAATGAAGATGCTGAATCCAACTTTTATCTAAATTATGCCATTTAATTAAAGATTTGTTTTATTCATTCAGTATTTATTAAAAGCCCATTCTGGGTGAATAAATCAATTTTTAAAAAATGCTAGAAAGAGACTGTAGTGTCAAGATTATCTTTGAAAGACTGACTGATCTATGTGCAAACCTAGACTCCATTACTTACTTTGTAAGACTTTGAACATGTTAGTTTATCTCCCTGAGCTTCTGTTTCCACATCAGTAAAAAAGTGAAGTGCCTGACCTTGCAGGATTGTTGTGAGGATCAATCTATAACACCTTTTCATCTATAAAATGGAAATAATAGTAACTGTTATTTCCCTATGAAGATTAAATGACATATGTGAAAGGGCTAAGCAGAGTGCTGGTCATAAAGCTATGATCGATACATTTTAGATACTGTATTTGGATAATGAGCATAAACATCTTTAATAATGAGAGTTGTTATTAATTATAAACGGTGATTAATAGAAGAGAAAAAGGAGATCTTACTGTGAAGAATTTCCCAATAAAAAGATAGCCTCTGGTCCAAGAAAAATGTATCTGTACTTATTTCTGAGTATTTGAAGTAAACTAAAATTAAATTGGATAATTTGGGTCCTTACATTTAAAGTGAATTAGAGGCCAGAAACGTCCCCAAGGCAAGATAATGCCTACCTCTGGACTTCCTTCTGCTTTCCTCTGGTGCTTTGGTATCGGGTTACTATAGCAACCACCACAAATATGACGGCCACAGGGAACAGCACCCCAACCACAATGGAGAAATCTGCAGCCAGGAGAACGAGGGCCTCGTGAGAATATGGGAAATTCACAAGTATACATCACACTGGTCCTTATTTCTTTATTTTTTTTGCGGCATGCGGGCCTCTCACTGCTGTGGCCTCTCCCGCTGCGGAGCACAGGCTCTGGACACGCAGGCTCAGCGGCCATGGCTCACGGGCCCAGCCGCTCCGCGGCATGTGGGATCTTCCCGGACCGGGGCACGAACCCGTGTCCCCTGCATCGGCAGGCGGACTCTCAACCACTGCGCCACCAGGGAAGCCCCCTTATTTCTTTATTTATCACAAACTCCGCCTACCTTTTCCCCAAAGGACATGCAGTCCCTGGAACATCTCTCATAGCCAGTAAAATGAAAATATATTTTGATAATGATTATTATAATATTATTTAGATAGGAGAAATTAAGAGGATGTCTAGGGAAAACATTTTACATGAGATAGGTAAAGCATCATACTACGGGGAATTCTTAGAAGGGATGATGTTTGTAATAAATTGAAAACAAAGGGCTGAAAGAATATGAAGTAAGGAGGATGCGGAAGAGGAGGGAAACATTGTTAAAATTCAGCCTTGGAATAAAACCAGTGAAAAGAATCTGAAGACTTGAAATCATATTCCTCTTAGTAGCAAGTAAGAAGCTGAGACGTGAAAAAGAGAATTGATGGATAACTGATAAGTGACAGACAGACAGGACATAAGTGAGTGTCCTGCTGACGTTTGCTCTATGGTGGAATTATTATGGACAAAAAAATTATGTGACCTTGTGAACTGGGGAATGGTTCTAACAAAGTTTTTCGGTTTATAGGGTGTTTTTTTACCTACTAATCTAATTAATGAATGCAACTTCAATCTTTTGCTATCTCATGTATTCATTTCTCTTATTATAATCTGAAAGCACAAAGACCAGGAGGTACAAGTTTGAAGAGCAATGCAAACAGCTACTGCTCTCTTACTACAGAGATGACGGAGATCAGTAAATGAATAATAAGAATGAGTTTTGCATAAATGCAAGAAAAGTTCACAAGTGTGAGCACACATGCGTGCAGAGAGATAGAGACCTCAGAAGTAGAATTCTAGGTAAGATAATAACAGTTCAAATACCTAATACTCTCTACCCTCCATAAAAATTCCTACCCAGAAAGTCAAAGGAAATAAAGTTCTGAGGCATCTGTGTTAGAAACAGTATAGATGCGTTCAGAATTTTAAAAGTGTACTTGCACTAACAACAGAATCGTAGCTATTTTCAAAAGAGTGACACGGTCCAGAGGAAATAAAGAGGAACTTGGCAGTACTTCACAGACATCCATAGTTTGAAAGGATGTGGTCTAGAGGTAAACCCGGGGCATCAGGCAGATGGAGAGTATTATAAAAGGAAGCAGGTTTACAGTTGAAGATGTCAGTGATTGAACAAAAAATACAGCCCTTTCTGTTTCTGGAAATGGTGGTCTAGGAAATTTGGACTAGCTCTCTCACTAAAAACAACGAATGAATTTTTAAAAAATCTTCCTAAAAGCACAGAAGTGCTGAAGAAATAGGGGGAAAATATTTTGGAGTGAGAGAAAATTACTTTGGAGTGAGAAAGCAGGAACTCAGAAACACAGGAAGGAAAACGATCATAAAATGAAGATCCGAAATGCGGAAAGGAATGAAAAGTAAATAAACCAAGAATGAACCTTAATGTAAACTGTGGACTTTGGATGATAATCACATGTCAATGTAGGTTCATTAATTGTAACAAATGTTCCACTCTGGTTGGGGGATGTTAGCGGTGGGAGATTGTGCATGTGTGGGGCAGGGATATAGGGGAAATCTCTGTACTTTCTGCTCAGTTTTACTGTGAACCTAAGACTGCTCTAAAAAGTAAAGTCTCTATTAAAAATAATAAAATGGAAATTTTTATGCTGGCCACGAAAAGAATATAAAATAAATGTATAATCTCCAAATTAATAAAAATAAAAATGAAGTGATTAAAATCCTCAGTAAGTCCATAAGAAAACAAGAAAGGAGAGAAAAAGGAACAGGAACCAGGCAGGACAAATAAAAAGCATATAATAAGATTGTAGATTACACCCAAATATATCAGTAATTACATTTAATTTGAATGGACTAAGTTTTAAAAAAAACGATTGAGACTAAAATTTTAAAATATATCTGTATTTTTTAAAATGAGAGACAGATATAAAACATGAGGATTCAGAAAGGATGAAAGTAAAAGTATGAAGAAAAAGTTATACCAAAGCAAAAGAGACCAAGAGAAATATGGTACAGCTATATTTTTCTCCAGGAACTGTGGACTTTAAAAGGCAAGAAGACTAGGGATACACAAAAGCATTTCATAATAACAAAAGTGTTAATTCACTGGGAAGAGCATGGTCTCAAAATATATAGGTACTGATAGAACCAGAAGTAATAGCCAAATTCACAGTTACAGTGGGGATTTTAACACTCTTGACTCAGTAATTGGTACAACAGACAAACAAGATATCAGTAAGGGTTAATATATTAAACACAATTAACAAACATGGCATTAAAAACATATGGAAAACACTGCACATAAGTGCAGAACACATATTTTTGTGTTCATAGACAGAACACTTACAATATGGGCTTATGCTGGGTCATAGAGCAAGTGTCAACAAATTTCAGCATATTCTCAACACAGGTTTTCTGATCCCTATGGAATTATGCTAAGTATTAATTTAACAGAAGCTAGAAAATCTCCATATGCATGTATGTTAAGAAATATATGTCTAAACAGTTCAAGGGCCAAAGAAGAAAGCAAATAGAAAATAATTTGAAACAAATGATAATGAAAATACCAATTACGATATGGTCTACAAACTGAAAATTAATGAGCCAAAGATTCCTTTCAAGATTTTTCTTTTAAAGATGAAATAAACTTAAGGAAATGGAATTGTATAAAGTAGAAATTGAAATAGCAAAAAAAATGTTAAAAAAGCAAATCATAAAGAATAATAAGTTTTAAAATTTTGTTAGGATAATATAAAAAAAGAGAAAAAACAATGCTACAGATACTATTGATATTGAAAAGATAAGTGAGTATTATGAGCAATCTTAAACCAAAACATTGACATTTAGGTGAAGTAGGTAAATGTCTAAGAAAAATATAACATAGTAAAACTTGCATAAGAAGAAATTAAATACCTGAAGGGTCTTATAGCTACTAAAGACACTGAATCTTTAACTAAAATATTGTCCAGAATTCTAGGCCTACATGGCTTACTGACAAGTTCTACCAGATATTTAAGGAAAGAGTCTTCCATTCTTATACAAACTCTTCCAGAGAATTTAAATGAATGAAAATGCTCCACTTCATTTAATATGTCTAGCATAACCATGATACTCAAATTTAGCAAGTACAGGCATCACTCATGAACATGAAATAATAGCAAACATCATCCATCAGTATCCGTGAGAGCTATTTCCATGTTGGGTTTATCCAAAGTATGCACAGTTAGATAAATGTTCACATATCAATCAATTTATTTTGCAATACCAACAGAGTAAAGACGTAAAAATCTTAACCAATAAATAAAAAGTATTTGGTAAAATTCTTAGCAAACTAGAAATAGAAGTGAATTTTCTTGATCTAATGAAGAGGATCCAATATGTACAGAATACCTTCAGATAACAGGGCAAAATACTGAAAGTCTTTCCTAAGATTGGGAAAGAAACAAAGAGGCTTGCTATCTCTATTTCTATTCAGCATTGCACAGGAGTACTACTCAGTGAAGGAAAACAAGTATGAGAAATTAAAATGGTGAAGATTAGAGAAGAAGCAAAACTGTCATTTTTCTGAAACAGAATGATTGAATATGTAGAAAATCTAATGGAATCTACAAATAAATTACTAAAATTATTAAGAGAGGTTAGCAGACGTGCTTGATATAAAAATATACAAAAATTAGTTGACCTTCTATATTCTAGTAATAGTTGAAAAATATTTTTTCAAAAAATACCATTTAAAAATACAATAAAAATTAATTTCTTATAAAACAAATCAAACAAAATATATGTAAAATTTCTGTGGTGAAAACCATTGACTATTATTGGGCAAAATTAAAGAAGACTAAGTAAATGGATAGATATTTCATGTCAATAGGTTTGGAATTCAATATTTTATATATGCTCATTTTCTGCAAGTAAATCTATAGCTGTAGTTTACACTAAATTAAAACCCCAACAGGAATTGTGTGTGTAACTTGAGAATCTGATTATAAAATACATGTGGAAATACAAAAGCTAATAGCCAAGACATTCTTGAAGAACAATGTTAAAGGACCTCCTATAAGATAACAAAATTATTTTAAAGATACAATAATAAAAGAGTGTTATACTGGCATAAGGATAGCCAAACAGGGCCACCAGCAAAGAACAGATATCCCAGAACAACACACGTGCATGGACACACGTGCTTTATTAGAAAGTCATTTATGATATGAATAATGGTGTGACAACTGGGCATCTATCTGAGATAAAAACGAAATTGAACACTTTGTTGACACTTGCTCTATGACCCAGCATAAGCCCATATTGTAAGTGTTCTGTCTATGAACACAAAAATATGTGTTCTGCACTTATGTGCGGTGTTTTCCATATGTTTTTAATGCCATGTTTGTTAACTGTGTGTAATATATTAACCCTTACTGATACCTTGTTTGTTTGTTGTACCAATTACTGAGTCAAGAGTGTTAAAATCCCCCACTGTAACTGTGAATTTGGCTATTACTTCTGGTTCTATCAATACCTATATATTTTGAGACCATGCTGTTATCTACAGTAAAGTTTAGAATTGTATGTCTTCCCAGTGAATTAACACTTTTGTTATTATGAAATTGCACACTTTGTGTGCATCACACACAAAATAATTCCAGATACGTTATAGACTTAAATTTGAAAAGGCAATACAAAAATCCTTTTTAGAATATATGGGTATACATTCATAACTTCAGGATAGGAAAATTGTCCTTAAAAAGGACACAAAAAGATAAAAAACTAATCATCAAGGAAATGATTAACAAATTGACAACATTACAATTAAAAGCTTCTTTAGGGCTTCCCTGGTGGTGCAGTGGTTAAGAATCCTCCTGCCAATGCAGGGGACACGGGTTGAAGCCCTGGTCCGGGAAGATCCTACATGCCACGGAGCAACTAAGCCGGTGCACCACAACTACTGAGCCTGTGCTCCAGAGCCCGTGAGCCACAACTACTGAAGCCCGCGCGCCTAGAGCCCATGCTCCGCAACAAGAGAAGCCACCGCAATGAGAAGCCCACGCACAGCAACGAAGAGTAGCCCCTGCTCGCCGCAATTAGAGAAAGCCCGCGCAGCAACAAAGACCCAACGCAGCCAAAAATAGATTTTAAAAATAATAATAATTTTAAAAAGCTTCTTTAATCACATGACATCACGAAGAGAGTGAGAAAACACAGAATGAAGGGAGTTATTTGCAGCATATATAACTGAAAAAATAGCTTATATCAAGAATATATTAAAACTTACACAAGTTATTAAGGGGTCAGGGGAGACACCCAATAGAAGAATAAACAAAATGGCTTGAACAGATGCTTTGCAAAAAACAAAATCCAAATGGCCAAAAAATAAGAAAAGATTTTATTATTATTATTATTAGTTATAAAGAGCAAGTCAACCTAATCCCACATTGAAAGAAGGATCATACATACTGAAGAAAAACAGCCCAGGGAAATACAAGAGACAGGGTGAAAAAACAAAACAACTCGACTCAAAAGAAATAGAGATAATCTAGAGAACAAAGTGAACCTACAAAAATTATGTCATATTCTTAGAGTTTTATGAGGATATTATATCTAGTATACATTCAGTCAAGGCTGCTATGAAAATGGAACAATCATAAAGCAAGAAAATTTGGAAAATTAAAACAAAATGACAAATATAAAATTTCAAGAAATCTTTTTGTATGTAGCACAATAACATAAGAATGTGGAAAATATGATGAAAAAGTTGCTGTAGAAACTTTGGGGATTAATATTGTGGATTCAATATCTACAGAATAGGAATTCCAAGAGGAGTGGAGAAAAGACAATGAAATCTTACATAACAGGAAATAAAAGCTTGGAAGAGGAGAGTAATTTTCTCACATTCGATGTGCAATATTACTTACTGAAGACCATGGAAGAACCACCACAATCAGGAGGGGCCCATCCTTCTTTACACTGACATTGGAGCTTGTGGTCACACACCTAGAGGAGCAACGATCCTGTTAGTTTTCTCACTGGACTAATCCCCAACCCGAGGGTTGATTCATCCATAATTAAGTCCACTCCAAAAAAAGAATAACCTCTGCTCTGTAGCCTTTCAACTGTCTACGTAATGTATGAATCAGTAATAGTAATTTCAGTACCAGGTTCTTTGAAGGAATTTTTCATTGAATAAAACTAGTGAGGAGTTAGATAATAATTTTAATCATTCAACGCTGAAACATCATTTTAACATCATCCAAACTGTCTGACCTAAAATGACACAAGATTCAGCAAGCTTGGGGAAACATTGTCAAGACTTACAGCATGTCCTTTGCATTTAGAGGAGCAATTGGCCGATCTGTAAGTTCTTTCGACATCCACACATTCTGCATTAATGCAAACCTGAAAGTGATATGAAAAACACAAAGTAGACTTGAATGTCCAGTGGTTTCAGTTCTGCAAACTGTTGACTCTTTGGTATTTAGCCTTGTATTTTTAGTTACTATTATTGTTATCAAACTTGCCTTTTCATTAGGGAAATCACTGAATCCTTTTGAAAATAGGAATATGGAATCTAGATCATTTTTATAATAAAATATTTAGGAAGTCCTCTTTAAAGAAGATTTCCTTACTTCACGTCATATCTCATGGGTCATCTTTAATGCACCTCTTTAGTCCAACTCTGAAGACTGAGAGCACTGAGCTAAGCATTGCACATGGTACAAGGTACGCATCCTAAACAAAAATACTATGGAAAACATGGTAATATCACATCATCTCCAATATTAAGATAATTATCATTTATGTAAAAATAAATAGTATTGTTACGATTTTTTTCATTATTATCATCAGAATGGCTATCATGTATTGAGACCATACCAATTCGGGGGAAATAAAATTTACCTAAATTCAACAACCTAGTGCTAAGCACATAATAGGTACTTATTAAATAACACTGAAGGCAAGAATGCAGTCATGTATACATGAATGGCATAAACGTTACTTTGAAAAACTGTGCTCCATGAAACACAAGGAGGCCTTGAGAAGCAAGCAAACAAAATGAACAAACAACCAGAACATTTTGAGTAAAAGCCACCATTAATCAATGTACCTTATTCTCTCCACACTTGGTTCCATTGGCTACTATGCTGATTTCTTGACTGCTGTCTTCAGGTTCAAATGTTTTACATGTCAGGAACGTTATTATATGTCCTTTCCGGAGCAGATAATCTGACCCACCATTACAGAACAACTTCCCACACAGGGCATCACTGAAGAAAAGCCGAAATTTGTTGCCTTTGAAATAGCAGGATCCAAAATGCAGTTTTATACAAATGTACATCAGCTCCCTATCGATATTTAACTAATGGTATTTCCCCCTAGGGCAGAGACTTCTAGTTCTCCTTTATACCAATTTCCCCCTTATTCTTCAGTAATAGAACCACTGAATATTAGCAAGGCACAATGTTGCTCAAAAGAAAAATCCCATGTCTCTCATATTCCCAAATTTTGGCCAGTTGCCTAAATTCTAGCCAATGGGAAGGAAGCAGAATCTTAACTGCAGATTCTTGAGGGTGGCCTTACGTGAGGGTATATGTCCTCTTCTCAATATTTTCTCCTTTTTGCTTATTGGAATATGACGGTTGGAGTTGGAGAAGCCATCACAGACTGAGAGAAACATTTGGGAAAGGAGGTCATACGTATGATGGAGCAAGAAGCTATAAGGAGGATGGATGTCTAACATCATGGAGGGCACCTAGGAAATCAGTTTCTGTCTTGTTTCAGCTAAGGTTATTTATTGCCATGAAGGGCAGCAGAATAATTCTCTCGACTGTAGTTGTATCGGTATAAGGCTGAGCCTTGGTTGTCACTCCAAGGCATCGTGTGTTACTGGAAGAACCCCTGCAAATTCAGATGAAACTGCTCAGCGCTCACTAAAGCCTTGCCTTCACTAGCAAGGGGAAGAAAGTCATCGCCAACAAAATTGGAATCAATTGCTTTATGCAGAATTTAGAGGAATGCTGTGAAAAACTCTTCAGAGAGTGGTAGAATCAGATTCTTCTGATGTCTCTGAGGCTTTTAGATAATACCATTGAGGAGTGGAGAAAGGCATGCATTCTCTCCAGACTTGAGAGGGTGTTTTTCTTGAATCATTTAAGTAGAGCTTTATGAGGAAGGCTCTAGGACACAGGGACTTTCAGGCTTACTTCCCACTACAGCCAAAGACTATCAAGAAGTGACCAGGAGGTCAGCCTGTGGGAAGAAATGAAATGCTTGTGCCTCTGGTTGCAGAAATTATCCAGTGTTCACACAAAGTTATACAGGACAAGGGTGTATACACTCTACAGAGGAAAGATGGAGTTACCCTAGTCTCTTTTCCCTGTCACAACCTCTCAGACTAAATATTGCCACACTCCCACCCCACTCTCCCACACATATTGCCTTTTACATAATTTTCCCTGATTTCCTGTAAAGAAGAACCCACAGGGTATGATTATCTTTGAGGCTTAGACTCCCCAAGAGATGACCTTCTGTCCAAAATATAGTTTGTTTGGTAATATCTATCACTGAGAAAAATCAATGTTATTTTAATAGAAAATCTTTGAGAAATGCTGATTTTTTTCATTTAATCTCTGGTTACACATTAGTTTGTATGTGTAAAATTTGGAGCAGGTATAAAGTTTAATCTATTATCATTTGAATTTTAAAAGTCACCTTAAAATTACAGAATCAAAGGAAAATATATAGAAAAATCTCAAGTTCATTGCTTATGGTGTTCTATCATTTTTTTCAGACTATCAATACAAAAAGGACAACAAATTCTTTAGGTAACTTGTCAATCTTTCCCTTACTGTATTTTTTCTTTATAGAATGCCATGGCAAGTTTAAATAAAACTGTACCATCATCATATTGCTTATTTCTCTGAGTAGATACATATTTATACACTAGAATCAAAATGAAAGACACTAGATGGAAAAGCATCTAAAGTATACTGGAGAATCAGTGTGCAAATTTCCAACCAGGCCCATTTAACTATTGCATGCTCGGTCTCAAACATTCATTCTATTTAACAACAGCTGTACTTGGTGTCCTTTGAAGCATCCATTATGAGAGACAGGAAAAAGTGGATCATTCCCTATTTGTCTTTTTAACTCAGTGCCTAGCCTAAAATATAGCATATAATAGTCACTCAATGAATGTTTATCAAATTAATGATGTCCAAATTCACTTTCTCTTTAAATGGGATAAATCAGAATGTGTCAAAATGAGCAGGAAGGTTCAAATAACAAGGCCACTTACTTTGCTTTACAGGGAATGCGTGTGTCATCCACTTTTCGACAGTACCCGTAACTTGACCCATCTTCATTCCTGCTAAAACATGACTTATCTGCAACCTGGGTTCCTGGGACCAGGCATAGTCAGTAGGCACACAGTTGAAAAGAAAAGAGATAAATAGTTCAGTGCCATAAAGGATTCATGAAACAGAAAACCAGCATGAGGAATACGATTTTAAGCATCATCCCCTTGACCCTTCTTGGAAATATAGGTTGCACTAATTTGATATCAAGAGAGATGGCTGGAGTTAAAACAATCTTTTAGATAGCCTATTTTTGAATAATGGCTATCTAAATATTTGTAAACATCTGGATGATTGAAAACTTAGCTGGAAGAGCCGTAGTTATCGTAGTAGCAGCCCACAGGCAGATACTGGAATGTTATCCTGCTGGAGGGTGCAGCTGTGACAGGTACATGCTGTGCTTAGTCAAACTTCTACTCTGCCAGGCACAGAGATGAGCATCGCATGCTTAATTTCTCAGGTAATCTTCCTCAGATCCCCATCAACTGGGGCAACAGAACACAGTGGTTAAGAGCTCAGGCATTAAGTAAGAGCTGTGTGATCTTTGGCAAGTGCCTTAATCTCTTGGTTTGCTCTGTGTAAATATGAGGATTCTATAATAGTACCTCCCCCACAGCGTTATTATGAGAATTAAATGAGTTAATATATGTGAGCCACTGAGAAGAGTGCCTGGTCTGTAGTACATGGTTCAGAAAGAAAATGCTGGCTGAAAATCCTTTGTAAATAAATATACCTGGGTACCATTGCTAAGGAAAGGAGCACATTTTCTTTTTAGGTTGCACACACATTTTTCCAAATTCTCTGTGAAAAGATTGTACTAATTCATACTCTTACCAGAGCATATTAAAGTTTGTCACATCCTCACCAACACTAAGCATTAACTGTAACAAAGCTCTGCAATTTAACAAGTGTCGAAGATTAACTTGTCTTCATTTATATTTCTTACCATATATTGCATGTGCTGATGTATTAATAGTGTTTCATACTTCTTGCTAGTGAGTTAAAATGATTTTAATGTTTATTAAACACGTGTACTTCTTTATGATGAATTGCCTGTTTATTCCTTGGTCACATTTTCAATATTTGGAATTCCAAATGATTTACAGGAGGTTAAAGACAGTGATTTTTCCCCCTTGTATGTGTTATAAGACTTTTCAAACTTTGAAGACTAATTTAAAATAAATGTGTGATCCTTGTGAATTGTAAAATTTGAAATTTTATTTAGGCAAATCTATTTTTCTGGTCTTTTATAAAGGCCACCTTTAAATATATGATTTAAAAGTTCTTCTCTATTCCAATATTGGATAAATATATTCAACATTAATTCAACAGATCACTTGGAACATTTACTAAAGTCAGGCACTGTGCTAGGATACACTGGGAATAACAACTATGAACAAAACAGTGTCTAGGTACTAGAAAATTTACAGATTTGTAAGGGAGGCGATATTGAAGGGTCAGGCAAAAAGAAGAAAGTAATAGTTTTTATCGCAGTGATTTATAGCCAAGTAACAAAGGAGATGTTCAGAGCTTCATCTCTGTGCTGAAGATTTCCTTTCCCCAGGTTTCTGCCATATACTGAAGTTAGCCAAGGAAGTACAAGGTCTTTAACCAGCAAAGCCATCTTTGCTTGCAGCTGTAACTTAGCACGTCCATCTGCATTACCTATAAACTGGAGAAGAGCCAGAACCGAATTCCAGACCATCAGAGCACTTCCTGATGCACCAATGGTATCAAGCTTTCTCCTCAAATTGTGTCTCAGCTCACCCTGGCCTGATACAGAGGCTTTCATTCAGGGGTTTTTCTAGGTTCCTGTCCATTTATTTCCCAGGTGTCTTTTTTTCTGGGTATATTGTCAATCAGTGATTTTTGTTGCTTTTGTTGCTTTCCTTCATCTCGTCTTATGTATATTTTCAGGAATTATGGAAAGTTTCCAGCATATGATAACCTTCCTCAAATATTTTTAGGAATATGTATTTTCCCTGTTAAAAATAGTCCTTCAGCCATTTAAGTAGGAATCTGGAAATGTAGCAGAAAATGGTATGAAAATTAAATGTATCTACACAATATACATCATATCCAGGAAGTCCAACGAATTGATATTTTAAAAATTGCTCTTCTAATCAAGTTATTTAGCATAATTTAAATATGGGTTTAAAGTTTTTGAAGATTCTTAAGTTATGCTTTTATTTTTAATTTCTTTTTTATGGTGTAATCAGAGAATATGACCTTTAAAATTCTGGTATTATGGACAAAATAAACATTTTAAAAACTTTCAATTTTCCTCACTGCTCCTTTGCATTCCACCCCTATACACACACACACACACACACACACACACACACACACACACACACACACACAAAATTCCAAGGGTCTGCTTAACTGGGAAGGATTTTGGTTAGAGCTGCCAGATAAAGTACAGGACATCCAGTTAAATTTAAATTCCAGATAAAGACTTTTTTTCAGCCTAAGTCTCACCCAAATATTGCATGAGACATACTGACACTTAAAAAAAAATTGTTAATCTGAAATTCAAATTTAACTGGACTGTCCTTATTTTTATTTGCTACATCTAGCAAAATTCTCCAGGATTTTGAGCAGTGGCACAGTCTCTAAGATGGAAGGGACAGAATGCTACTTTGGCCATGATTAAACACTGTCACTTGGAGTGATACGATTTTCCTTTGTATGTACAAAGGTAGTGCCAGCATCACTGGGGTTTGTCCTCCTACCTGGTCCCCATAGCTTGGTGCACTGCTCCTCCAGGGTGGGGCACATCCCCATCAAGCAGTAGCCCTTCCCATTTTGGCAAGGGAAGCCATTGACCTGGAATCGATCATCCGGGCAGAGACCAGATTTGCCATCACACGTTTCGGGCAGGTCACACTCATCTTTTGCTGGTCTGCACACCTCACCAGCCTTTTTAAACTATAGGGAAATAAAATAAAAAAATAAATAAAATTTTTTTTTCCACCTGACTTAACCCTAATATCTCAAATTGATTCAAATAACATTTTCCCTGTGGCCTTTTGTTTGGCAACGTAGTTAGAGGCACCGTTCTGTTTTAGTTCACGTTTTCATTGTATAAGCTGAAGACATCTCCTATAATCTCTCTTCTGTTGACTTTGGCCAAGCCCTGAGTCTTTAAGCAATCAATATTTCTGAATTTGTAGAGCAAACGTTATAGAAATAACAATGAAAAAACACAGAAGAAAACTGAGCAATATCTTAGATGGAAAGAAGGAAGTTATTTCTCCCTTTGTTGAATGCATCTTTGACAAGCTTTTCAAGGAGATTTAAATCTGCAGCTTCAGAGATTTATTGGTGAAGTAAATCTTCCATAGTAAGCAAGATACGTTTATAAGCCCAGATCAGCGTGCTCTGAGACTTTTCCAGGCATAGAGTTTCCTAATTCTTAATTCCTTTTATTGTATGCTCAGATATTTCTTTTCAACTCACGTCTTTCTATGGAATGATTTATCAGAAGGAGGAAACAACCAAATATTCATTTCATGTGTTAATTCCATTGCAATCTATTACTGCGAGTCTTGCTCTTATGAGCTCAGAGAAACCTTAGGAAAAGAAATTCTGCCATTCATACAAATCTAAGAGGCCTGTGTGGATATTGGAAGCATACCCTTCTCTAGTTGAAGTGAGAAGGCATGCTCTCATATCATCAAAAGACTTTCCATATCTTGACGCTGGTGACAGAATGTGCCAAAACTAAGATCCGGCACAGCCAAATAAATAAATAAATATTTTTAAAAGAATCCAAATTTTCATCAGAGCGTATGAGACCCTCCAAATTCAAGCCCCCCCTACTCCAGTCAGACTAGCTTTCTTACCAGATGTCACACAAACCATGCTTATATCTTCTTTTCTTTCTATTTCTCTAAAATCTCCTCTGACCTCTTCAATGCAAATCACTGTTCCTCTTTTCTACATGTGGTAGGAAAAGAGCCCTGAATTTGGATTTGAAAGATACAGGTTTGAATCTTGGCTCTGCCAGTGGCTAGATGTGTACCCTTAGCAAATGGGTTTAATCTCTCTGAAGATCCGTTTCCCGATCCAATATTAACTTTCTACGGTCATTATGAACATTAAGTGAAAATATATGTGGAAACTATTACCCATATAATGGCCATCTGTCATTATAATATCTATCTGAGCATTTAATCATGTACCATATTTTCGTCTGTTTTAGTTATGTATGTCATCACCCTAAAGAAATAGCACCCTAAAGAAATAGCAAGTTTTTTGAAGTCAAATACTAGTTTTCTTTATCACTCATAATCTCTAACAAGAGATTAATAAATATTATAACAAGACTTAATAAATACTTGTTGAATACTACTTAAGTTCTCAAATTTTCTTCATTTTGGCCTCCTTTATTTCTTTCCTCTCCCTCCAACATTAAAAAAAAAAAGAAACAAACAAAAAAAACCTATCTCAAACACTGCCTATAACCTGGCATGCCATCTGCACATTCCTTTTACAGATGGTTATTGGGCTTTTAAAATGAATGCAATTCTGTGTTAGGTGAGCATGAATCAGACTCCAGACATTAAGAATCAGTCTAACTAAGAAGACACATAAACAAATAATCATAATAGAGAATTCTCTGCAACAGTAGAATGTAACATGCTGAACTCTAACTGGAAGAGAAAGTCAAAAAAGCCCCACAGAGAAAATGACACGGCATCCTCATCTTATGTCTTTTTTCTAAGAATTTCACCCAGAAGTGACTTCAAAGGTTGACGATAGAGGAGCCCCTACATTATTAAAATTAAAAGCTTTTCCACTACACCATATTAAAGTGTGAAATAAAATTCATATTTTATGGCAAGACAAGGAAAATTTAAACATAAGAAATTGTCTCTCCCTCTGACCTCCTCTCTCCCCATACCGTGCACTGTGTATCTGCATTAGGCATTGACCATCAGCATTGACCATCTCTCCCCCATCAGCAGAAATACCTGCTCAACCATAAAGACCAACATACTCCCAGCACCAACAAGATAACTCCTTAAAAGATAACGTTCCTTCTTGATCTTGTAAGGGGCCATGGTGATGCTTAGATATGGATTGTGTAAACTATCAATAAATGCCATTTAACGTACAGCCCTCTGTCTCAAAAAACTTACACAACTGTGCTTTGACTTCTAACTGGCTCAACAGTTTTCAGAGCTTTCTGAGATGCTCTTCCCCGGTTACAATCCTCAATTTGGCTAGAATAAAATTTTCCATTTCTTTCTTAGATCGGCTGATTAATTTTTTGCCAACAAAAGGGATATGCAAGCAATTACTAGATTTGGTCCAAGAGGGTCACACGGCATCAGAAGAAATAGCAGGTGGGAATAACAAAGCATTGGTTTTGGAACTGATCATACTTGGATTTTGCCATTTAGTGGCTGTATTATTTTGTACATTATCTGTTCTGAGACTCTGCTCGAAAACAAAATTAAATAATAATATATACTTCAAAGGGCTATTGGAGGATTAAAGAGCCCATCTTTGCAAAGTACTCAGTGAGGACTTGATAGATGGTAGGTAACATTATTTTATAGACAGAAAAATATTACTTTGCCTATTTCATTGAACATAATCCCTAAGATTTTAATACAGAAAAAACAAAGAGTAATCATAATTATTAAGATAGAATAAAATAATAATCTTACCTGGCATTTTTCACAGCATTCCCCTACCACACATTGAAAATTTGCTTTGATTTTACATGTTTTTGCATCACAGCAAACGTTGGTACATTCCTAAGAAATACCAGAAACAAATGCAAATGCAAGATTACCTTTTGGTCTCATTTTGGCACAATTCATAATACAATTTATTCATCACACAGACCTTTCTTTGATACAGTTTGAAAATGATTTGGGGGAAAACTAAAAAAAAAAAAAAGTTTAACATTAGAAATACTGAGTTTATCTGAATTCTACTTCAATAATTTTTTTATTTGAATATCTTTTCTAGTTCCCCCAATCTCCCATAGTAATACTGAACATGGTCTGTTTTTGGTGAAATAGGAGAGAAAATGAAAGAAAGGGACAGTTTTTGAAAATCAAATTCCTCTAAATTGTTACAGAACATAATTAGTTCAGCTCATCAATTTTGTATCTATCCAGCAGTAAACTTAATCTCTAGAGCATGTACTGAAAATCTAAAAATATAGTTCTTTATTCAAGTTTGACATTTAATTCAGCTCTCTATAAAGCAGTATACTTTGTCTTGTTCTCCCCACCTTGCTTCTGGGAAATTAGGCATCTGCACAAGGCTTTGGGGAAACTCCTACTTTGGGAACCTCAGAGTGAGATATTTACAGTTACCAATTTTTAGGGTTAAAACTCTTGCCCTGGGCTTCCCTGGTGGCGCAGTGGTTGAGAGTCCGCCTGCCGATGCAGGGGACGCGGGTTCGTGCCCGGGTCCGGGAAGATCCCACATGCCGCGGAGCGGCTGGGCCCGTGAGCCATGGCCGCTGAGCCTGCGTGTCCGGAGCCTGTGCTCCACGACGGGAGAGGCCACAACAGTGAGAGGCCCGCGTACCGCAAAAAAAAACCCCAAAAAACTCTTGCCCTTATTCAAACAAACATCATCTGGGAAAGATTCCTTTTTCTCACAGAAGGGATAAATGTGTAATCCTATTTTGAAGTACTGAAAGGCCAACCCCCTGAGAGCTTGGCCTGGTACTCGCATTAGGTATTAATAAGATGGGGGCAAAGGTCCCATTCAGAATCCTGGCTGCCCTGTCAAGAGGATGGGACCAAGCCAGGCACTTCGAATGGTAAAAAGTCCTGAGTCCCAAAGTTGGCCTAACAAATGTCTACAAACAAACATTTTCAAAATTACAAGAAGTGTGATTTTTTTAGTGAACCGCACGTTGATAGTTTATCTCTCAGCAATTGAAAAACAAAGTAGATCATTTTAGAAAGAACTTGGTGGTACCTCGGGGGTCCCACAGTCACAGTCTTCTCCCATTTCTAACAACTGGTTCCCACAGATTGGGGTGGATATGATATCTGTAGGCAGCGGAACGTTAAAGAGGCAATTGGATAATTTATCTTCCAAGAATTTTTCATAGCTGACACGGCTGCAGGAACTGAAGTCCGTAGGTATATAGAAGCTGTAAAGGTAAGGAAAAAGAAAATGGAATACAGTCACGCTGAGCAGATAGGGGGAAATATCAGGCGTTGGGTGTGATACACTCAAAACGTGACCCAAAAGATCAAAGGGAAGACACTCACCAACTGCTAAATCATGAGCTCTTATTTTTGCGCCTGAAGTAGCCCACCCGGGCAGGTATAAACACCTCCAGCTTAATGAACAAGGCAAGTATGGTCACATCTTAAAATAGAACATCCAGGCTGCTGTTTAATAAACTAAAAATCCTTCTAATTTATCCAGATAATCTCATTCAGCCTTCGGTCCTTTTGGTTTTGAAGTCTTAAAGGCACTAAAATTATATTTATTTACATGTTTAAGAATTCATTTTCCTTCAGAGGGATTTCTATTGACAGCCTCTCTTCATTCCACAAATAACAATGAGGTTAAAAAAGCAGTAGCCGGGCTTCCCTGGTGGCGCATTGGTTGAGAGTCCGGCTGTCGATGCAAAGGACATGGGTTCGTGCCCCGGTCCAGGAAGATCCCACATGCCGTGGAGCGGCTGGGCCCTTGAGCCATGGCCGCTGAGCCTGAGCGTCTGGAGCCTGTACTCCTCAACGGGAGAGGCCACAACAGTGAGAGGCCCGCGTACCGCAAAAAAAAAAAAAAAAAGCAGTAGCCAAGGGGATTGCGGGGGAGGGAAGGAATGGGAGTTTGGGATTAGAAGAGGCAAACTATTATACATAAGATGGATAAACAACAAGGTCCTGCTGTATAGTATAGGGAACTATATTCAATACCCTGTGACAAACCATAATGGAAAAGAATATGAAAAAGAATATATATGCCTACTTATCTGAGTCACTTTGCTGTACAGAAGAAATTAACACATTGTAAATCAACTATACTTAAAATTTAAAAAAAATTTTAAACTACAGTAATATATGTGAGAGATAGCATAAGATATGTAACTGGCATGCAGCCATATGCTCTTTTGTGGAAGGGCATGGGAGACTAACCCTAGCTTGAATGAGCTGGGAGAGGGAAATACAAAAAGAGGAAATGAACACATAAAAGGGATTGTGGGGTTCTTAAAAATAAAATTCCAGGGCAGTTTTGCCTAAGGTGTGGCAGGAATGTGTAATCTCTTTTCAAAGACTCTCGTCATCTTCCTATGAGAACATTCTTCTTTTTAAAAAAAAAAAATTATTAGAGTATATTTGCTTTACAATGTTGTATTAGTTTCGCATATACAGCAAAGTGAATCAGTTATACATATACATAAATCCACTCTTTTTTAGATTATTTTCTCATATAGGCCATTACAGAGTATTTAATAGAGTTCCTTGTGCGATACAGTAGGTCCTTATTATCTATTTTATATCTAGTAGTGTGTATATGTCAATCCCAGTCTCCCAATTTATCTGCCCCCCCCTTTACACCCTGGTAACCATTAGTTTGTTTTCTACATCTGTATCTATTTCTGTTTTGTAGCTAGCTAAGTTCATTTGTACCCTTTTTTTAGATTCCACATATAAGTGGTATCATATATTTGTCTTTGTCTGACAGTTCACTCTGTATGACAATCTCTAGGTCCATCCATGTTGCTGCAAATGGCATTATTTCATTCTTTCTTATGGCTGAGTAATATTCCTTTGTATATATGTACCACATCTTCTTTATCCATTCCTCTGTTGATGGACATTTAGGTTACTTCCATGTCCTGGCTATTGTAAATAATGCTGCAATAAACATTGGGGTTGCATGTACCTTTTCGAATTATGGTTTTCTCTGGATATATGCCCAGGAGTGGGATTATATGGTAACTCTATTTTTAGTTTTTTAAGGAACCTCCATACTGTTCTCCATTGTGGCTGCACCAATTTACATTCCCACCAACAGTATAGGTGGGTTCCCTTTTCTCCACACCCTCTCCAGCATTTATTGTTTGTAGATTTTTTGATGATGGCCATTCTGACCCATGCGAGTTGATACCTCACTGTAGTTTTGATTTACATTTCTCTAATAATTAATGATGTTGAGCATCTTTTCATGTGCTTTTTAGTCATCTGTATGTCTTCTTTGGAAAAATGTCTATTTAGATCTTCTCATTTTTTGATTGGTTTGTTTGTTTTTTTGATATTGAGCTGCATGAGCTGTTTGTATATTTTTGGAGATTAATCCCTTGTTGGTTGCTTTGTTTGCAAATATTTTCTCCCATTCTGAGGGTTGTCTTTTTGTTTTGTTTATGGTTTCCTTTGCTGTGCAAAACCTTTTAAGTTTAATTAGGTCCCATTTGTTTATTTTTGTTATTATTTTCATTACACTAGGAGGTGGATTGAAAAAGATCTTGCTGTGATTTATGTCAAAGAGTGTTCTGCCTATGTTTTCCTCTAAGAGTTTTATAGTATCCAGCCTTACCTTTAGGTCTTTAATCCATTTTGAGTTTACTTTTGTGTATGGTGTTAGGAAGTGTTCTAATTTCATTCTTCTTCTTTTTTTTTTTTTTTTTTTTTTTTTTTGGTAGATGGGCCTCTTTTTTTTTTGGCCTCTCCCGTTGCAGAGCACAGGCTTCCGATGCGCAGGCTCAGCATCCATGGCTCACGGGCCTAGCCGCTCCGCGGCATGTGGGATCTTCCCAGACCAGGTCATGAACCCGTGTCCCCTGCATCGGCAGGTGGACTCTCAACCACTGCGCCACCAGGGAAGCCCCATTCTTCTTTAATTACATTTTTCTTCTAAAACTTCTCCATTACCACCACCCAATCTGAATTCACTGAAAATGTGATAAATGCTAATGATTTTATGAACCCAGATCTTGTGTAGCTAAGATGAGGATAAAGTGACACATCACCCCAACAGCAAAGAGATAGTATGTTTAAACTATGTCTCAGTTAATGAAAAACATTACACATAGATGAGGTACAAGGTAGTTTGGTATAGACACACATCCATGATTTTGTCCTGATACTGCTATTTAATAATTTGAAAGTTTGAACATGTCATTGAAGATGACAGCCCAGCGTGAATCCAAAACACAGATAAATAGCATCTTCCCGGAAAGGCTCACCTTAGTGCTCTGTCCATCACACATACTGTAGAAGGGCACTTGCAAGCATAGGTGTCATGAAACATTCCGAAGTTATGGCCCATTTCATGGGCCATGGTCCCTGCAATGCTGAGCACGTTGTGACTGTGGTCCTGAGGATGAGAATAGGGAGACAGATACTCTGGTTTGCAAACTGAATTATCACTCAGGACATAAGTATTTTCACTGTAGTCAAGTGGAGCAGAGAGTCTGATTTTAGCTTCAGTTTCCTCACCTTACCCATCTCTTCCCCTCTCTCCTTCTCTTCCCTTCTCTCCTGTCTCTCACCCTGACTTTCTCTGCCCTTTTGTCTCTCTGTCTCTGTATCTCTTGCTGTCTCTCCCCCCAACACACACACCCCTTTGGTACTGAATGCCCATCACAAGGCATAAGGCTACTCTCTGTTCTTGTCAATGGGTCCCTATAATGAAAATTTTTGTTATTTCCTGCCATGACGGATAATGACAACCTTTTTTTCAACAATAATAAGAAATTAGAATTTTTAAAAACTGATTTACCTCCCCCCTCACATTTGGATTGTTTTTCAAATTCTTTCCAATTTATCAATAATTGGAGGTCTTTAATGTATTTAGTTCATAGGGATCTAGACGTGCTCATGAACCTAGAACTTTAGAACCACTGGTACCTTTTTCAAATCTACTACTGCCAAGACTAGACATCAGCCAACTCCAGACTTCCGTTATTGCATGAAGTTCAGCAAGTAGCCAACTTCATTACCAGATTGTTTCTGATTAAAGGTGTTGGAGCAGGACATCCAAGTTATCCAGAAGCAATAAAACAACACTAAAGAATCATTGCTGGTTGTAATTTCCCAGTAGGGATACAGGAATATGCCAATAACACCCACCCACAGAAAACTGATTCCCTTATGTACTTCATTTCAAAGAACAAAACAGAGAAGTCCATCAGGCACAGTACAAGGCTGGCAAACAAGGAACACGTATGTGAGACAGGAAGTTAATACCTACCACTTACAATATTGTTGCATCCTGTTGAGGTGAACCTGGTAACCTTACTATCTATTAAGATGGAGAGTCTTCAGTGGGGACAAAAACAAACCAAACAATTTAAGAAAAAAAGAAATGTGTTTAAATAGACACTTTCCAGATTGCCTTATTTGAGGTTCCTTCAAATTTAGCGTACCTTCCTTTAAATAATTATTTTCATAACTAAAATGGTTTTTTCTACTGGAATTACCTCCATCCTCTCTTCCCCTTCAATCCAATCCAAGCTCTGAGGTTCATTTTAACGGAACTTTTCCTGACCACATTACTCTTCATCAACAATCCTCTCCTCTGGATTCCTACTGCAGTTTTAAGTCTATTGGGTTGGCCAAAAAGTTTGTTCAGGTTTTTTCCATAACATCTTATGGATGTTACTATCATATATTATTAACTATTGCTTTAAGTGGGCTAGTTTCTCTTCCAATTTTATGGTAGGCACTTTCAAGCTTTAAAATACATATTTTACTTCCTCCGTTTATGATAGGAAGCCTATCATAAACCTAGACTCATAAGATATATTGGGGAGATATATACATACTCACTGACGGGAGAAGTAGCAACAACCTATAGCAGAACTGCCGAACTGTTACAGATAGGGCATGAGTTTAACACACACACACACACACACACACACACACACACACACACACAGCCCACACACAAAACTACAAAAACCTCTACTCCTGAGAGAGGGGCAGACAAAAATCCTGAGCCTAGGATCCTATATTGATATCAAGTGAGGTTTTCTGCCATTGCAGGAGGGCCAGGAAACTCTCTTCCAGGAATGATCTGCAAAAGTCAGAAAGCAGAGTTTTGCTGCCATTGAAAGGACGCAGGATCACTGAGAAAGCCTAGCTGCTGAGACCCAGGGCCTGATGAAAACTGAAATTAGACAAAGTCAGATGAGAATTCCCTGACCCCTGTTTCTCATCACCAGATAATAGAAAGCTGGACAGAGCATCCCACCCAAACTTATTGTAGTCAGATTCACAATTTTCTAGAACCAATCCTAGAGCTGAGGTCACAAGGCAACAAAGCTGAAATCTAAGGAAAGACAGGCTGGCACCTAGTGGGAGAGATGGACGTGAACTTCTGTTTACCTGGGGCAGACACTACCAGATGCCAGTAATAACTCATACAAAACATTAAAAACTGATGTGAAGTGAGAGTAGCATCGACATATATACACTACCAAATGTAAAACTGTCACCCAGTGGGAAGCAGCCGCATAGCACAGGGAGATCAGCTCGGTGCTTTGCGACCACCTAGAGGGGTGGGATAGGGAGGGTGGGAGGGAGGCTCAAGAGGGAGGGGATGAGGGGACATGGGGATGTATGTGTGCATGTGGCTGATTCACTTTGTTGTGTGACAGAGGCTACTGCAGTATTGTGAAGCAGTTATACTCCAATAAAGAGCTATTAAAAAAAAAAAGTGTGGTGGAAACACCAAAAAAAAACCCCAAAAAACTGATAAATGTTGATTGTGGAATAGCAAGAGAATATGCAAAATGTGAGGAATTCAGAAATTAGAGAAATTCCCACCTATTCACAGATTTTTCTCCACATGACGTCACTAAGTCAGAGTTCTGGGAAATCCTCCATCATGGTATTGACCTGGGGGAGCAGAACAGCAGTAGCAAAGGCATGAAACCCCTTCACAATCCTTCTCCCTTCTCCCTGTAATGGAGCAAACATGACCAGCACCAGGGTGAGCTAAGTGCCTCACTTGGCTTACTCTAGTCCTAGCCCTAACTAAGGTCTTAAACTTCTAAGAGAAGGGCAACAAATCTTGTCACCCTTAACGCACTGGTGAAGTCTCAGTGCAACTGTGAAAAATAAAAAGAAAGGGGAAAAAAAAAAACCAAAAGCAAAAAACCTCTACCACTGGAGGGGAGGGGCAGAAGGGGCAGGAATGCCTGCTGGGTTTACGTCACTAGAGGTCTCTACCATCTGGCAGTGGATCAGAATCACTAGAAGGACCCATGCCAGAAACTAAGAGATGCAGGACTTGGCCTAAGACTGAGCTTAATGAGAACAAAAGGAAATGCCCTCCTCCCACCAAAAGTCCAACAATCATCCAGTAACAAGTAACAACAACCTATTGATGGGAGATGGATAACAGCTTAAAGAGACTCCCTGTGAGGTGCAGTAAAGCCCTAAAGATGAGTGTGGAACACACAGTGACAAAAACTCTGGCAAACCATCCTTCATTCTAAACACAAAATAATGTGAAAGGAATTTAACATCTGTGATGCACTGAGGATGTCCATACCAATCAAAAAATCCCGAACCCAGCTCAACTCCTGCTAGATCGATTCAAATCTTCACACTGAAGTCCTAGAAGGAAAGAAGTGATCATTTCCAGGCCAAAAATTATTTACCTCAGACTACTGCCTTTCACGAGATGCCTAACTTTCAACAAAAAGTAATAAGGCCTCACCCCCCAAAAAAACAAGAAAAAACAATACCTTGCCGATCAACAGAACCAGACTCAGATTATTAGTGCTATCGGAGAGGCACTTTAAAATAACTATGATTAATGTGTTAAAAGCTTCAGTGGAAAAGATGAATATCATATAAGACTGGATGGAAAATTTCAGAAGAGAGTTGGACACCGTAAGAGAGAATCAAATGGAAACACTAGAATTGAAAAAGACAGTAACAGAGATGAATAATGCCTTCCATAGGCTTAACAGTAGATCCGGAATAGCTGAGGAAAGAATCAGTGGATTTAATGTTTCAACAGAAATTACCCAAATGGTAACACGAATTGAAAAAAATGATAAAAAGGAAAAACCAAACAAAATGAAACAAACATGGAGATACAAGTTTTGTGGGGTAATATAGAATGATCATACATATATGTTCAATTACTTATGTGTAATTGAAATCCCAGAAAGTAAAAAGGATGAGAATGGAAGAGAAGAAATATTTGAAGACATAATGGCCTAAAATTTTCCAAAATTAATCACAAATACCAAGCCCCAGGACAAAGGAACACTAAGTAGGATAAATTACCTCTCCCCACAAAAACCCCTTAGTTATAACATAATTATAATTATAATCAAATTGAAGAAATTAAGGACAAAGGAAAAATCTTAAAATCAGGAAAAAAAAAAAAACCACCCACACACATTAGAGAGGAACAAAGATACAGTTTACAGCGGATTTCTCGTTAGGAGCTCCGGCAAACAGTGAGATCACTACAAGTGCCGAAAGAAAACACTATCCACCCAGAACTGCCAGCCCACTGAAATATATATACGAGAATGAAAGAGAGATAAGGTCATCGTCTTACAAACATGGAAAGAATTCATGGACAGGAGACTTGTATTATAAGAAATGTTTTTTAAAAATTCTTGTGGAAGAAAAAATACATTATGCCAGATAGAAATTTTCTCTCTGCAAAGAAAGGAAGAACGTTGGGAATGTAACCAAAATAAGCACCAGGAAAGACAAGATAAATGGAAAACTAATTTTTTCTCATCTTAAATTGCACAGCAAGATGACTTTTAAAGAAAAATGAGCAACAGTGTATATCGTATTTATAGTATATGCGAAGTTAAACATTTGATAAAAATAGCACAAAGGATGGAAGGGAGTAATTAGAGGTGTTCCCTTGTAAAGTCCTTATACTATATGTGAACCAGTTAATACCATTTCAAGGTAAAACGTACAAGCAGAGATGTATAATAAACCCCAGGGTAACGATTAAAAAGAAACAAATCAATAAAAAGCTAATAATGGAGATAAATGAAATTTTTTTTAATATACTCAATCCTAAAAAGGCAGAAAAAAATAGAAGAGATGGCATAGGAAACATCTAGCAAAATGAAAGATTTTAATCCAACAATATGAATAATGATATTACATATAAATTATTTAAACATACCAAATAAAAGACAGAGATTGTCAGATTAGATAAAAAATAAAATCCATGTATATACTATCTAGCAGAAACCTTCTTTAAATGTAAAGAAATACATATGCTAAAAATAAAAGTAAGGAAGAGGTTGTATCAAGTACACTATAGCCACAAAGTATTGGAGTGATTATACTGAATTTGGACAAAGTAGACTTCAGAATAGGAATATTTCAGGGAAATAGAGGGACATAATATGATAAATGGATCAGTTCTCCAACAAGACATGACAACTCTGTGTATTCACTTTACAATAGGGCTTCAAAATACATGAAGTGAAACTTATAGAACTGAAAGAAGAAACAGACACATCTACAGTTCTGCTTGGATACTTAAGCACTCTCTCCATAAACGATTCAAAAGAACTGAACACTATAAGTCAACCTGACATAACTGACAATTACAGAACACTCCAACAACAGTAGGACACATTCTTTTTGAAGTTCATATGGGGCAATGACCAAGAACAAACCTCAAAAAATTTTAAAATATCAAAATTCTACAAAGTATATTCCCAGACTCTTATGAACTAAATTGTGTCCTGCCCACTAATTCATATGTTGAAGCCCTAACTCCTAACATGACTGTATTTGGAGATAGAATCTTCAAAGGGATAATTAGGTTAGACGAGGTCATAAGGGTGGGGCCCTAATACAATAAGACTGATGTCCTTATGAGAAGAGGAAGAGACACCAGGGGTAAGTGTGCACAGAAAAACGGCCACATGAGGGCACAGCAAAAAGGTGGTCATCATCAAGCCAAGGAGACAGGCCTCAGATACCTTGTCACCTAAAGCTAATGACACCTTGATCTTGGATTTCCAGCCTCCAGAACTGTGAGAAAATAAATTTCTGTTGTTTAAACCACACAGGCGATAGTATTTTGTTATGGCAGCCCCAACAAATGAATACACAGACCATGACAGAATAACAGAATTAAACTAAAAAGTCAATAATGAAAATTATTACAATACACATCTAAATAATACATGAGTCAAAAAGAAATTAAGGGGACTTCCCTGGTGGTGCAGTGGTTAAGAATCCGCCTGCCAATGCAGGGGACACGGGTTTGATCCCTGGTCCAGGAAGATCCCACATGCTGCGGAGCAACTAAGCCCGTGTGCCACAACTACTGAGCCTGAGTGTCACAACTACTGAAGCCTGTGCGCCTAGGGCCTGTGCTCTGCAACAAAGATAAGCCACTGCAATGAGAAGCCCGCGCACCACAATGAAGAGTAGCCCCTGCTCGCTGCAACTACAGAAAGGCTGCACGCAGCAACAAAGACCCAACGCAGCCAAAAATAAATAAATGAATAAATTTATTAAAAAGATTAGCAAATATTTTTAACTTAATGAAAATGAAACCACACGTATCCAAAAAACTTGGATGCAGCTAAAGCAGTGCATAGTGGGAAATTTATAGCATTAAATGATTATATGTGAAAAGAAGAAAACCCTCAAATTCACAATCTAAAATTCTTCCTTAAGTAACTAGAAAAAGAGTAACAAATTAAATGCAGAGAATGCAGAAAAAATCAATAATCAAGACAAGAGCGGAAATCAATGAAATTGAAACTAGGAAAGCCTCAGTAAAGCAAAAACTGTTTCCTTGAGATCAATAAAATTGATATACCTTTGGCCAGACTGATCATGGGGAAAAAAAAACCCCACAAATTACTAATATCATGAATGATAGAGGGAAAATCACTACAAATCCTACAGATATTAAAAGGATAGTAATGGAATATCATCGACAAATATATGCCAACTTAAATGGACAACTTTCCTTGAAGACACAAACTACCAACGCTCACTCAAGAAGAGATAAATAACCTGAGAAGTCCAATATCTATTGAGGAAATTGAAAATGTAGTTTAAAAATTTTCCACAAAAACATGCCAGATCCATATGGTTTTACTAGTGAATTATACCAAACATTTCAGGAAGGAATAATACTAATTTTACTCAAATATTCCAGAAAATCGAAGAGTTGGGAGCACATCCTTTACCCTGATACTTGCTCTAATAACAAAACCTGAAAAACACATTACAGGATAAGATAACTACAGACTAATATCCCTCATGAATATAGATGCAAAAATCCTCAACATATGTTACCATGTTGACTCCAGCAATATATACAAATAATACATTAGACCATGTTGGGTTTATACTGGATATGCAAGATTGATTCAACATTTGAAATTCAGTCACTGTTTTTTACCATGCCAAAGGACCAAAGGAGAAAAACTACATGACCTTCTCAATAGATGCAGCAGAACAGCATTTGACAGGCTTGAGCTGTAGAACCAACAGTTTAAACAAACCTGAACAATGCCAACAGAATGATACGGAGAGCACATTGTAGACATGAAAGCAAGGCCCACAGTTGTTCCAGAAAATTCACTTGCCCTGCGAAAAAGAGAGAAATTGATAAAGCTTATGACTCTAAGTATATTTTCTATAGACAATTCATCCAGAACCCTAACTAATTAACAGAGAAACTCACATCGCGAATCATCACTCAAATATTTCCTTCAGCGAGTTTGCAAAAGGCATTTTTTTAAATACAATGGTTTTCATACCACTTAAATCCAAGCATCTGGGAGTAATCACTTTAATATTTTATATCTCTTATTCATGATTCTTATATTTTTCATTGTGGAATTCATCTCTTGTCAGGAAATAAAGGGGGATTTTTTTTCTAACAAATATTTTGTTTTATATATACATATGTATGTATAAATTTATATAAATATATAAATTAAGATGAAACATGTTTCACCTTAATTTATATTCTCCTCATGTATTTTTATATATGTTTACTTTTATTTTAGCACTGTTTTAGCTGTAGCTTGATTTAAGTTTGGGCTCATTCTATAAGTATTTGTGTTATTGAAGCATTTATGCATTGGCAATATTTGTCCTATTGGAGCGACATGTGAACCACTTGCATTTATTTACGTAGATGATATATTTGGTCTTTAGTAATTTTAATTTCTATTTTGGTTTTGTTTCATTTTTTCTTTCAACTTTTAATAATTCCATGTGCTTTTTTGTTATTATTATTCTGTTATTATTGTCTGTTAAGAATCTGACCCTGGTTTGCATCTAGAAATTTGCAAGTATGCATCATTTTTAAAATTCCCTTAGTAGGTGCATTTACATAAAAAGTTGAACCTATATTTTCCCACTTATCAACATAAAGAATGGCAAGTACACATTCTGCCATGAAAAATGAGGAAATGAGAGAACTTCCTGCCACTTTCCATTCCCTATGGAGATTTCAATATCTGTTATTCTGTAATGATATTTTGTATGATACATGATATTTTAAAGACTTATGGCATTTATATTCTCTTTTAAAATTATATTGTGAAATTATTTATACTTAAGTCTACATTTTTGTGGATTTAATTCTTACTACTAGCTCATTTATAAAAAATAAAATCTTCCTCCATTATGGGATTACCTATTTTGGTTTCTCTTTTCAGTGGATAGAGTATATTTGGACTCTAAGATTCATACCCGGTTATGCCCAGGTATAGGTATATTTTGTTAATTTGTCAGGTAAATGGTAAGGCTTTCAATTTACACATGAAAGGACAATTATTTCCTTCCATCCTTATCTTTTTAGTTCTTTTATCTTGTTTATTCTGGTCTATTCAGGAAATCTACTCTTGATATTGGATTACTATTTTTTATCTATACATCTGTCATCTTGTCTATAATTTATATTTCTCTACCCTATTACTTCACAATACTGGATTCAACTACCATTTTAGCTTTGTCCTGGGACCAGTCTGGTAAGAGTTGAATCCCCTTACTACTCACTACCTTCGAGACCCTGGAAAATCACCAAACCACTCCCCAAAATGAGCTATGTCTTGTGGTGGGCCCCTGAGTCTGGAACTCATCTTTCCAAATTAAGGAACTGTGGCAGCTAGCCTTCAAAGATAACCCAATGAGCCAGCCTTGTGGTATCCCTATCCTGTGTAGCACCTTCCCTAAAACTGGATAGGTCTATGACTTGTTCTTGACCGACAGAATACACCAGAAGTGATGTGTGATTTCTAAGACTGAGTCATGACAAGCCTTGAAGTTTTCTCCTGGGCCTGTTAGAATGCTTCTTCTGGGGAAAGCTAGTCACCTTGTTAAGATATCCAGAAACCTGAGACTGCCATATTGGAGGAAGTCCAAGTTAGCCACATGAAAAGCTGTATATGCAAAGAGATGACCAACCGGCACCCCAGGCAAGGCACTAGACATATAAATGAAGAAGACTTATTTTAAGTCTGTAAGTTGCGGGCTGATGCATCATGCAGTCATAGATAACCAGCACAGAATATTAATTAATTCTGACAGGACCTAGTCCACTTATTTCCCATGACACCCACTGTTTTCTTAGGTAGTGAAACTCAAGTAATTTTAAGTCACTCTTTGTTGCCATCTGATTCCAGCTGCAAACCATCCGGCAGAACTGTCTTGAGGCATATGCTTAGCAGTCTTGTGTCATTTATAGCTGTTGGATTTATTTCCCCTATTTTTTAAATTAGTCACTAATTAGTCATTTTGTCAGGATGGTAGAAGCATGGGATTAGAATATCATGTTCAATTTTCCTTCAGTCCTAGAAGTTTGTCCTGATTGGTGCGTACAGCTAATCCATTCTTTTAAAACATTGAATCTAAATCCCTCTTGCCATTATCTAAACCCGCCTTTCCTTTCTGTTATACACAATCAAAACAAACAAGCTTGTTATGAATCATTGCTCACTTACTAGCCTCTCTCTTAAAAAAAAAGAAAAAGAAATCGTTGGAACAAAAGTAAGAGCACATGCAACATAAGATCCAAATGAATACTTTTTAAACTTTTAACGCTCTATGTGTAAACCTGTAACCTGAGATACCATTTGCTTTGCCAAGGCTTTGAAAAATGTCTATGGCAAATACCACAGAACATACAAAGGGGAAAATCTCTACATACGTGATTAACTGAGCAACATCATGACGCTTTCTTCTTAGGAGGACACCCCCCCTCCACTTAGCAAAATTTTCCAAGGTGAGGCTTGCATTGGGGGATATCTTTATCTTATCCTTGTCATTCCAGATTTCCATCCCAATTAAGGCAACATGAATATTGAGCTTTTTATAAAGCTGTTGAAAGAGAATAAATGGCAAAGTAACAACTCATAATGGTGTTATTATCTTTTAATATTTTCAATGTACTTTAGATTTTGAAACTTATTTACAACAGCACTGTAAAAACCTTCTTTCCAAACATACTTGTGAAATGGAAGTTACCATCTCTTTTGGCAGACACTAGCATCCCCATTTGTAGGCAAGACAGGCACCCTTAGATATTTTAGGTCTATAAACTCCCTTTTTTGGGACAAAGGGTCTATTGAAACAAACTTTTCCTGTTTGCAACCTCAAAAAATATTATAATTTCCTGCTAGTAGTTCATGACTATGACTTTACTATAAATATATTTCCTCAAATGCTATGTAACTTCCTCAGAGTCATAATTTTTCAGAATTAGCAAGCTTGACTCGGTGCTGATTTGGACATCAGAAAAGGAACAGGCTACATGAAAAAGTCCTGCATATGTGAGTTACAATAAAGTAAGGGACCTCTAATACTTGAAACTGGACTGAACCAAATAATCTACAATGCATATAGAATAACCTTTAGAAATAACTACTTAAGCTTATGAGACAATACACTTACTCTAAAGATGAAAACTTAAATTACTACTATAGTCCATAAAACTGCACAGTGTTGGTCAAAGAGTACAAGCTTCCAGTTATAAGATGAGTAAGTTCTGGGGATCTAATGTACAACATGGTGATTAAAGTTAATAATACTGTATTCTATGCTTCAAAATTGCTAAGAGAGTAGATCTTTAATGTTTTCATCACAAAAAAGAAATGGTGGAATCATGTGACGTGATGGAGGTGTTAGCCAACCTATTAGGTGAGCGAACCTAATCATTTTGCAATATATAAGTGTAACAGATCAACACAATGAACACCTTAAATTTGCCCAATGTAATATGCCAATTATATCTCAATAAACTACACAGTTACAGGCCTTCTCCTGGGGCAACTTTCTGCTGAGAAACCTGAGGAGATATTTTTTCAAAAAAAAACAAGAAAACAAGAAAAGTGTTGAGGAATGCAATTATCATCAAAAGCAAAGTAAAAATCTAATCAGATTAAAATCTTGCCTTTGATTTTTTTCCAACTTCCTTATTCCTCTCTTCGTTATCTTACTCACCTGACAAAACTCCAATCCCGGTTAAAACAAACTCTCCCTTCTGTCTCTCCTCCATCAAGCCCCGAACACAGACAGGGGAAAACAAATGATGTTGGCTGCTTTCACCTAGAAGCCATGACCACTAACCTCAAGTGGTCTGAACCACCCTCCAGTAAACCTGCTGCATTTCCAAAACCCATTCACTCTCACAACCTTCTATACACTTTTTCATGCTTGCTCTTCTTTCTCAAAAATTCTGCCACTTTCTTTTAAATCCTCACTTTGAGCAGATGTCCCTGCTGCCAAATTCATCGAAGAGCATAGATGCAACCAGAAGAGAATCTCCACAAGCTCCCACCCCGTCCACCCACTGGTCTACACCTGTTCAAACAACCTGTGCTTCCCCTTCCTCACTATATGAATGAACTGTGAGCCCAAGGCCAACTTCTCCATGCATGCACTGGACCTGCCATCTCTCCCCAGATCAAAGAGATTCCTCCAAAAATTATTCCATCTTTTTTTCACTGTCAGTGTTTAGCCTTTTGTGCAGTGGTTCTCATCAGCATATAAAGGATGCCTCATCGTGGCGGGACCGGAATTTCTCTTTATGATTCTTCCTCCAATGACTTACGCCCCATTTCTCTGCTTCCATTTATAACAAAACTTCTGTATTTGCTGTCTCTAATTCCACTTCTTTCATTGTCTCCTGGACTCCCTGGAATCATGCTTTTACACTCCACAGGAACTTGCTTCATCCAGGAGACCAATAACTTCTACTTTGTTAAATCCAGTGACCAGTTCCTGGTCCTCAGAACATTTCACACCATTGATCATGTCTTCCTTTGATATATTTTTGTTTCAAGTAGCTTCTAGAATAACAACCTCTCCTGGATTTCCTCCTATCTCACTGTCTACTCCTTGGTCTCACCTCCACTCTCTCACCTCTTCCCCTCTTACTCCTCCTTAGAGAAGTACTTCAAGTATATATCTTTGTGTCCTCTTCCTACTTATCTACACCCATTCCCTTGGTGATTTTACAAACATTTTCTGCAAAGGTCCAGGTAGAAAATATTTTAGGCTTTGAGGCCATGTGGTCTTGGTTGCAATTACTCACCACCTTTGTTATTGTAGCAGGAAAGCAACCATAAACAATGTAAACAAATGGGCATGACTGTGTTTGAATAAAACTTTATTTTATAAAAAGGCAACAGGCCAGAGTTGGTCCACAGGCTACAGTTTGCTAACCTGTGTCTTATGCCATCTATACGTGCTAAAGTCATAGATTTATATCTATGGACCTGGACCTGCCATCTCTTGCCCTGAACTTCAATCTTGTATCTCCAGCATTTCCACCTAGAAATTTTTATACAAAGAGATATCTCAAAGTTGCTGTGTCCAAAATGGAAATCCTAATCTTTCCTCTGATAGATTTCCATCATCCCCCACCATTGTTCCCCATTCTTGAAGTTGCTTAGGTCAAAACCCTTGGTGTCACCTGACTCCACTCTTTTTCTTATGCTTCTCATCTTCCACCCACCTCGTAAACCCAGTTGACTCTGTCCAGACATCAGATCTTCTCAATAGGTCTCCCATCACTGCCTTTTCTCAAGCCACCATCTTCTCTTGCCCTGAATTATGACACGATTCCCCTACCTGGTCTTGTTTCTGCCCTTGCTTTCCTTCAGTTTATTTTCAACAGAATGGCCAATGTAATCTTTTAAGAACACAGATCTGAACATGTCACACCTCAGCTCAGGCTTTCCAATGTCTTCCTCATTCATTAAGAATAACAAAGTGCTAAATACCATATGATATCACTTATATGTGGAATCTAAAATGTGACATAAATGAACCTATCCACGAAACAGAAACCAACTCACACACATAGAGAACAGACTTGTGGTTGCCAAAGGAGAGGGGGGTGGGAGAGGGAAGGGTTTGGAGTTTGAGATTAGCAGACGAAAACTATTACATGTAGGATGGATAAACAACAAGGTCCTGCTGTACAGCACAGGGAATTGCACTCAGTATCCTGTGATAAACCGTATGGAAGAGAATATGAAAAAGAATGGATACATGTGTGTGTGTGTAACTGAATCACTTTGCTGTACAGCAGAAATTAACATTGTAAATCAACTATGCTTCAATTAAAAAAAAGAATAGCAAAGTCCTTACGCAGACCCACAGGGCCTTCAGGTTCTGCCCACTGCTACCTTTAGATGTCATCTCCCACCCTAGCCCTGGCTTATTACAACCAGCCACAATGGCCTTCCCCTTATTCCTCAAACAAGGCAATCTAGGTTCTGCCCTCAGGTCCTTTGCTCTGCCTAGGGTCAGACTTCTCTCCCTTCCTTCAAGTCTCTACTCAAATGTTACCCTATTAGAAATGACTTCCCTAACACAGCACCCAAGATATCTCAATCTTTCTCCTCTCTCTCTCTCTCTCCCTTTCTCTCTTTTTAAAAACTCTGCTTTATTTTTCTTTATAGCACTTATCACCATCTTACATACTCTTTATTTGACTTGTTTGTTTGCCTCCTTGAACAAGGATGCTAACTTCCTGAAGGGAAGGATAACTCCTTGAAAAAAAGGATATTTGTCAGTTTTGTCCCCCATTTTATTTCTGTAATCTAGAAAAGTACCGACACAAAGTAGGTGCTCAATAAATATGGCCAGTTCTTGGGGCTCATTAAGAGGAGTCAGCATACTCTTTGTGGTGAGAAGATGAGATATGACCTTGGTCATTGTATCCACCTTCGTTTTATTTCTATCCTCAGAGGATTTGCAGGACCACAAGTGACTCAGCCATTTCAACTAAGTAGGTAACCATATGTTCAACTAATAGGAAACTAACATATAGTTTAGTTTAGAACATATAGTATAGTTTAGTTTAAGCTAAACTAACATATAGTTTAGTTTAGTATAGAAGGTTGTGAGAGTGAATGGGTTTTGGAAATGCAGCAGATTTAAATAGAAATGATATAAAAATCATTTTTTAAAAGTTCTTAGAAATTAGATAATAAAATCATGTTTAAAGAACCAAATCAACAGTTGTACAATGGAAACAGGCGTGGAAATCTAACCAATCTAAGTTGAAATCTTCTCTCTACCATTTCCTAACTTTGTGATTTTAGGCAAGTTATTTTGCATCTTAGAAACTAATTTCTCAGCTATAAATTACATTTAATAATATGTTAGCGTTGTTCAAGGATTAAATGAGATTAGGTATTGAAAGCTGCTATGTACCAGAGCTTGGCTTATTTTGTTTTTTGGTTGGTTGGTTGGTTGGTTTTCCATTTTCTTCCTTAGATTGGTTTTCTATTGGGATTTGTATGTCAGCATTTTCTTACTGGGTTTTAGAAAAATAAAAACCATGAAACAAAACCACCTCCTATATCTTCATGGACCTGAGAATAGTGTGGTGAGTATGTGAGATACTTCTCTATCATGTAATATTAATATTCAATTAAGTTGCCAAAGTTGTGGTCACCCTTCAAGAGCCAGTAAGCAGTATTAGTCTTAGGACTATTGGCTTTTCTTCCCTGCTTCATGAACATTCATAGAAACACCCAATGGCACCACCTAGCAAATTGTTAAAATTACACTTAATAAAATATATCATACCATGTTGATGTAATTGACCATCTCAAACACCCTCTTTCTTATTTCCTCTTGATCTTGATTGTACTTTTTAAACTACAGACAAAATATAGACATTGATAGAAATGAATATAATTGGAAGGTGAGAAAAAGCAATTTCACTTTATTTTACTTATTATAACTAATGATCAGTTATAAAAGTTAACACTTAAACATTAAAAACAAAGCATTTCCTTATTTCTCTACCTAAATTAAAGCAGTCTGGAAGAAGAGATGATGTTTTGTCCTCTGAAGTACTAGCTCAGTGTAAAGCTCTAAGGAGCTATTGCAGACATATTTTCAGTTAAATACCATGGTTTCCTAAGCTGAGGAGCACTAGTGCAAGGAATAGTCTACTTATTTCAAAAAATATGAGCAGTAAGTGAATTTAGTATAATAAGAGAGGTCAAAATTTTAGGGTCTGAACTAACTTACATTATCATAACACAAAAATTTTCCTTTTGAGAGCACACATGTGGACTTCAGGTTTAGAACAATCAATATATAAAATGCATTCTTATAAAAGAAGATTAACAATGAATATTACCAAAAAATCATCTTTTTCAGAAAATTCTATCCATTAGTTTTTTTTAATTTTATTTACCACTCCCTGATGAGCATAAATTTTAATTTACCAATGATTTAACTACTTAACAGAAGACAAAGTGACAAAGGAATTTAATTTGAAAATAAGTTTGGGGCTCTTCAGACAATGAGAAAGGCACATTATAGTGCAAAAAAATCAGTTTATGCATATCATATTAGGTGTACATTCCTTAAAAGGTAACATCATATCAGTCTAATTATATGTTGTATTTCCTAGGTTCAAAACAATTTGTAAAAAAGAATAGCTCATACTCATTATTTTTAAAAACTTATCCATCCATTATTTAATATCTTACATAATAAATTTATGTAGTATAGCATTTTGAAAGACACATTTATCTGATATAATTACCTCACCATTATCCAGGACCAAAAAATATTCTATGTATTTATTTTGTTCCCAAGCCTTCTGGTCTTTGGATTTCTATAATAAACATAAAAAAGAAGATTACTAAGACAACATCTTTCTCTGCAAGAGTCATTCTTAAATTTTAAATGAGTAATTCTGTAAGAGTTGGTTGGTCTGGGAATGAAGGAAGACAATATTACCATTTTGACTCTAACTAACCATCCAGAATCATCTACAGACAAGGCTCAGAATGTCAGAGGTAGAAGAGACATTGGTGATATTCTAGTCTGGCCCCTTCATTTTTACCAAAGAGTGTAAAGGATTACACAACTGAGTGCTAAAAATAAAACCAAAGTCTTCATATTTTTTGAACGGTGGACTTTCTCCACTAGCCTGCTGTGAAATAGAGGCACGTTAACTTCAGCATCCTCCTAGGGTTTTGTTTTGTTTTGGTTGCCTTTTATTCCTATCCCAGTGAATACACCCTCCTTTACCAATGGTGCAAAGTCCAGAGCCACCGCGGCACCCAGTCTGTCCTTTTCTTCTCAGACAGTGCTTGATCTCCTTCCCACATTCCAAGCCTCCCTATTTTCAGTTTCTTTCTCTCCACAAAATGAAACAAAAACAAAAAACATGTTTCACAGTAGATTTTTTACTGATCTGGGTTCTTGAACTCTTTAATCAGTAGAAATTGGTAAGAGGCCAGATGAGAAATTCAGACAAGGGTTAGATGCATGAAGTAGGTAGCTACTTGTAACCGTCTGGCCTCTAAAGGCAAAGGCTGGAGATATACATTTGATGGTAATTAGTGAAGTTCCTATTTAAATAAGACATAGCACTGGATGAGATTACCTAGGAAGAATGTGTAGATAAAGTAAAGAATGGGACCCAGTATTGAGTTACATGAGGCCTCTAATATTTAGTGGTCCATCAGAGGCGGGATAACAGTGAGAGGAACTGAGAAGAAGTAGCAAAACCAAACAATAAGCTGTCATGAGAGCGAGGTTATTTGCACACAGTTACCAAGGAATTGAGACAGAAAGACTAGAGGCCTGTACCAAGCTAAACCAGGAGATCAACGTTCATAGGAACATATAGCTCAGAGTGATTCTCCTGGACTCTTAGATATCATACCGCTGGTAGAATTTAAACCCATAGCAAATTGAATCCAACAGAGATTCTATTTTATTCAAACCTATTCTGTCCAGTGCTTATGCATTCTGAGAACATGTATCAGTAGAAGAGATGATTGGATGTGAAGCGTATCCTAAAGAAAATGAAGGTAATAATGACAAAGTTTTTGTGTATATATTTTATAGTTTCAAACACAAGCAATATTCATTTTCCTTCTGTGACCAGAAGCTGAATTCCAGGTATGAAAGAATATTCTAAGTTCCTGTGGGAAGATCTGATATTTATTTTGCCCACTGCTATATCCCCAGCACCTATGGTGGTACTTTAAGAAAGATTTATTGAATAAATTCATTCATGGAGAAGGCAGGGTATTTTATCTCAAAGCAGTAATAATACTTTACACCTTTGTTGTATGTTGTAGCATCACGAAAGCTGTCTGCTTCTAGGAGGCCAGCATTATATCGATGCATCTTTTTAACCCTTGCACACAACATGTTGTTAATAATAGTTGATCCTTACACACTCATTAAATAAATCGTCAATGTACAGTAAGGTTTTAATGTCTCTTTAACCTACTAGTTTCAACAATGACTGTAAAGTTTCAGTCAGTTGGAGCTACTAAGACTGGAAACCAGAGCAGCCAGGATGAGATACATGAGAGCACCGCAAATAAAAAATAAAAGTAGGCATACAAGAAGACTGGTGGCCGATGGGACTGCATTCTGATGAATTTCAGGTACCCATAACATGTCATCCATCCCACAGTTGCTGTTAGTCTTCTGTTCATCAGGATCGTGCTTGAAGAGTGCATGTTCCTGTTCATCCTGATGTGTGGGGCTTAAAGGTTCAATGAAGTACTTTTGATCTCCCTGACTGAAGTAACCCCTGAAAAACACAAGAATCTAAGCTTCCTAAAAATATTCCAGTTCTGAGCACTAAAGACTTGTCGACTTCAAAATATGACCAATGCCAAAGCATTCCAAGCTCATGGCAGTAAAATATAGTATAACATTATAGCTGAAGAGACGCTTAGAGATTACCTAAACTTATTTTCTCTATGAGGAAATTGGACTGGTTGGGGAGAAGTAACTACTGCAGTCATATAGCTAACCTGTGTCAGAACTGGTGCTAGAATGGAAAATTCCTGACTCTCAGTCAAGAGTCCTTCCGATTCTCATGCCTGGTCTGCTCTAAAGATACACCGACAATAAAAGAGACTTTGAAGTCTTATAGATAGAGTTAAAATTCTGAGTCTATCACTTATTATCCGTGATACCATGGGAAAAAGACTTAAACTCACATAGCCTTAGTTCTCCACCTCTGAAATGGGAATAATAATATCTACCTAATAGTATAGTTGTAAAGATTGAAGGAGATAATACGTAAGGCACATAATCAATGAATATTATCAATTTCTTCTCGATTCTCTCTGCTAAAGCCCTGAGCTAAGATTCATTTAACCGTGAATTAGGGAGCGAGCACCCATTATTCATTAGACACTGGGGCAAGGGCAGAAGGTAAAAGGAAAAGAGTCGTGGTCTCTCATCTCATGGAGCTTATATTCAAATAAGGAAGATGGATGTGGATCGAATAATCACATTTGATCCACAAATATATACAATTATATGATGTATACGTAATACATGCAATTATGGCAGATAATTGCTAGGAAGCAAAAGTCTGAGAATATATAGCAGGGAGACTGGACTAGGCATACGTGGAAGTAGAAGAGTGGACTGGGGAAGTAAGTTAGGTGATTTATTGCAACAGTCTGCCTAAAGGATCATGGCAGTTTGGACTAGGATGTGGCAGTAGAGAGAGAATGTAGTGAATAATCTCAGGGAATATTTAGAACACATAATCAATAGGGCTTGTTAAATGGATAGAAAATGCGTATTTGAAAGGCAAGAAGTCATCAAGGAATCTAGGTTTCTGCATTAGGTGGTTGGTTGACTATATCTTTTACTGAGATAGGAAGCACTGGAAAAACGCCACATGAGGGAGAATATCATTAGTTGGATTTGGAGTATATTAAGATTGAGATTTCCTTAAGATATCCAGATATGGAGAGATATGGAGATATGGAAGAGGAAGTGAGCTAATGAAGTCTGGGCATCAGAAGAGATATCTTACTGTAGACAAATACATGACAAGTCATTAACATCGCAAGAGAAATGGATGTCATAGGCATGAATTGGACACACTAGAGAGAGTTTAGAGTGAAGAGAGGTGTTCCCATTCCCTAAAGATTCTGACTCTAAAACTGGGACTCAAAAACCTATATTTTGAAAACAAGCAAACAAACAAAGACAACTCTGCAAGCAATTCAGAGGTGTAATTTACAAACTACTACCAAGAAAAGCCATGTTTCCTTCAAATTTCACAATTTTTGAGTCCTTAGAATTCATACTCAACTATAGTATAATTTATTATATTTGAGATTCTTTAGGTAATTAACACACACACACACACCCATCATCACAGGTACAAACAAACCATTATGAAGCCTTACCTTAGACCCCTACATGTGCTGATACTAGCATCAGAAACCTTTTCATTAATGATGTGTCCTTGGTAATAACAGTCATCCTAGAGAAAAGGGAAAAGGGGTTTGACAAAGGAAAAGTGTGCATGTACTTTAGATCCGCTACTAAATTTGAATTTGAAATCTTGAAACAAGATCTATAATGGTTTCAAATCATTTTATGCTGAACAACAAAAAAAATTTTTTTAAATTTCTTTTCTTTTTTTTTTGGCTGCATCGGGTCTTAGTTGCAGCACGCAGGATCATCGTTGAGGCATGAAGGATCTTTCGTTGCGGCGTGCTGGCTTCTCTCTAGTTGTGGTGTGTGGGCTCTCTAGTTGAGGCACGCGAGCTCAGTAGTTGTGGCATGCAGGCTTAGTTGCCAAACGGCATGTGGGATCTTAGTCCCCCAACCAGGGATCAAACCCTCATCCCCTGCATTGGAAGGTGGACTCTTTACCACTGGACCACCGGGGAAGTCTCCCTAAAAAAAATTTTTTTAAGCAGCCTTTTGTGGTTAAAATCTTTACTATTTAGCTAATGATCCCAAATGCTTAGGGGGCATTAACTAAACACTGTCGTAAATTTTGTTGTTGCAGAAGAAGGATAACAGGGATGAATACAGTCTGGGAAAAAAACAACTCACAGGTATAAGTTTAAAACCTGAGCCCCCAAAACACCAGACATTCATTCTTTTCCTTGGCTAATTGCTCAGTAAAATTTCCTAACACTGATGAACTCTTTCCAATGAATGGATTATTCAGTTTGTGCTGTTATTTCTTGATTTTTCCAAACAGCGCCACCAGACTAACTAGATTAACATCCCTGTATCCACTCGAAGCCAAATGCTCAGTCTTAGCACTTTTTCACATGGATGTACTTCAGTCAAATTCACCTTTGTACTTTGGAACAGGTGAGGTATTGGCCCACATAAACCTCTGTGCATTGCTATGGAAGAAAATGCTTGAAAAACTTCCTCAGAATAGATGGCAAGGATAAAACACTCCTCATACCACTTCATCCTGTCTTCTTCTCTGAATAAGAATCCAGAGTGGGAAATATTTAGGGAAAACACAGAATTCTACAATTCTACCATTGAGGAAATAGTCTTGAGTTTGAGAGACTACATGATCCTGAGAGGTGACTGGCACTGAATAAGAACACCAGATACATTTAATTCTCTACTTTTCAAATGAAAATAAGAAGCTCTTTCTGCCCACTCTCCTATAAGGAGTCCTTAAAGGCTGGAAAGGGTTACCATGGTGGTCAAGGAATACATTTGTTCTTGTCAAACTATAAAAATGTTAGAGGATCTATTAAGAAATGACTACTGTTTCTGTTTTGTAAAAAAGTTCATTTGTATCATTTTTTTTTAGATTCCACATGTAAGTGATATCATATGGTATTTGTCTTTCTCTGTCTGACTTACTTCACTTAGTATGATAATCTCTAGGTCCATCCATGTTGCTGCAAATGGGATTTTTCATTCTTTTTTATGACTGAGTAATATTCCATAGTATATAGGTACCACATCTTATATACACTACTATATATAAAATAGATAATCAACAAGGACCTACTGTATAGCACAGGGACCTCTACTCAGTATTCCATAATAAGCTATATGGGAAAAGAATCTGGAAAAGAAGAGATATATATATACATGTATAACTGAATCACTTTTCTGTACACCTGAAACTGACACAATATTGTAAATCAACTATACTCCAATATAAAATAAAAATTAAAGAAAAGAAATTACTACTGTGAAAAAAACATCGTTGCCATAACACCATTTCACTTTCACTAATTGGCAATGACACTGCTTCTGAGTGTGTGGGTCACACGCCAATTAGCAATGAATTTAGGATACTCTGTCTTACCATGATCTGTGGGCTCCTGGTGACCTCCTTTCCAGTGGAATTATAATATGTTTCCGTGTAGCCGGGTGCAAGGAGACCCCTGAGGGTGGGAGGAAAATGTCATGTTTACTCATGCTAATTGCAAAGTCCAGTGATCAAAGGGAGAGCTTTCCCTGGGTGTGGAGCAAAGTTTTACCTCTTAGCCCCTCAGGGCAAATGCTTAAACCGGAGAGAGTGGGAAGGGCAGGGACATTCCTGAGTAGTGTGGAACAATGTCTGTTTCCTCATCAGACTCTGCCTGTTTGTCTGAGGAGAGATTTGAGGAAGAAATAGAACTGAGTAGGGCAAAGTTGATGAAAATGACTGAAAAGAGCAATGTTCTTCCCCACAGCTAAGGATGACTGCCTTTTTCACCCAGTCCTTGTCAGTTACCAGTAACTTAACAGTTGCAGCAGTGGAAAGTGTACTGAAAACTGACTTGCACTTGGTAGTGTGGGCTCTTTCAGCGTTCTCACTGAGCTTCCTAAAGTTCTTTCAATTATCCACCAGCAAACAGGAGTCTGAATATATTTTTAAAAGAGGCAGGGCGAGGAGAAAAGGAAGTAACTAATATGTATTCTATACCATCTCTATCCTGGCTGCTGGGATAGACCTATTACACATATCATTTAATCATTTCAACAATCCTACCAGATAAATATTACTCTCCTTATTTTTCAGATGAGATTAAACAGTTCAAGTGGCAAAGAATCCTATCCAGATTTGCCTGAATTCAAAGCCTGTACTATTTCCATTGTACCACACTGTTTCCAAACTCTCGACAGTTGTGGCTTTTTGCAAAAGGTGACAGTCTATTTGAGGGGAAAAAAAAAAATCTCATTGCCCTATACTGAATAATTGAGGGATTAATAAAGCTTGAAAGCACAGAATTAGGAAGAAACTACTTCGGATATAGTCTAGATATAGGATGATCAAGATCTGGGTGAGAGCTGAGATAGTGAAATTTGAAAAAGAATGTTGGATTTCAATGAACTGAATGAAGAGAATGAAGGAATACAGGAAAATGTAATGTATGAGAAAATGGAGGGTTAGTGGTTGGCTGGGTAGAAACAGCATTGGCGTTGCAATCAGGGGACCCTGATTCAGTTTTTACCACTGACTTGTTTTTTGGCCCTAGAGTTTATTTAACTTATGTATGTCTTGTTTTTCTGATGAAAATAGTTGCAATTTTTTTTAATATCTAATCTTTCAGTGTTAAAATAACAAAATGCAGTGATGCATGGGGGAGACTTAAAAATCTATGTGCTGTTTCATAGAAGTTGATAAAATATACGTCTGCCTGCACCTCGTTCATTGTGTTTTATGACTTCAACTGGCAAAACACTAGTAAACTGTTACCTTCCTCAGTGTCTCTACTACTTCAGTACAAACAAATACTCGCGGAAGCCCTTGGGTCACTTGAGAGTAAAAGATGATTAGCCAAGGTTTGTGGGAGTCCTAAGTAGTAACAGACTCAGTTATCACACTTGCCACATGCTAACTGGCTGTTGGTGAGGATAGTATCAGAAGTAAAGACTCTTACTTGTTTTTCTTCAAGTAAAGCACTGCGATTTTTCCATTAACTGTCATTTCATACTTCAATTCAGTTTCAAATTTTTCCTGCAAAAATGCACAAACACTTACTGGTGATTAAAAACATACACACACAGATTCATTTGGCTATGTCCATCTGTCTCATCATTAGAAAGCAATGTCTGCTTTTCTTTAACAGTGGTCTCTATAATTCCAAATGTCTGCTTCTGCCTCTTTTTAACAAGTCAAACAGCTGCCAACTGAATAGACACATTATCTGAGGCCTTTATACAAACCCATCTATCCATCCAGGCAGCCTCACATTCTACAAAGAAGATGTGAGTGTGGGTTATATGCCAGGCACTGCTAAGTTGTGGAAACTGGCCTCTGAGCAGGAAAAATTGGTACCGACTGCCAGAAAGCTTATAATATTGCGGAAAGACAGACAATAGAAGTGAGTTATATGATAAGGGGTATGAATCTGGAAGCAGGGTAGGATGTCTAACGTCTTAAGGGCAGGGAAAGGCTTTCCTGAGGAAGGAACATGTCAGCTGAGATATGAATTAGCCAGGTGACACAGGGTAGGGAAGTTATTTGAGAAGAAGTACTACTATGCACACAGACCCAAAGACCCGCAAGCCTCTCAACTGATGATTTGGTCTAGAGGTCTTCTCACTGCTACGTGGAGGGCAGAATATGGGCAAAATGACATGAATCTGTACCCTAAGGCAGGAAGAAGTCATCAGGAAGAAAACATAGTCTCGGGTGTTCAGAAAGAGAAGAAAATGTCACTTCTAGTAAACTGTGTGGAAAAGGAGAACTATTTTAAGTTTAGATTTATATATACAGGAGGAGATAGAGAGGTCTATACAGAAGAATTTTAAAGAAGATGCTATCAGGTGCTGAATTCTGACTTTGTCCTATAAAACAGGGTTATTAGCCATGGTGACACGTAATATCTACCAATTCACTGGGAAGTACCAGGACATTATTAAAGAGATCCAATATGGCAGAGCAAACGTGATAAAGCACCAGTTATTATGGACTCAGTGATGCTTCCGCTGCTGTGTTACACCTAAGGTCAAGCTGTCTTGTCTCCTCCCTCTGCTGAAGGAGAGAAAAGGACCTGAGCTCATCCAGGGACAATAGAAAGTTAGAGCCAAATGAGAAGGAAATCCAAATAAGAGGGGATATATGTATACATATAGCTGATTCATTTCGCTATGCAGTATAAACTAACACAATATTATAAAGCAGCTATACTCCAATACAAATTTTTAAAAATAGAATTGTTGATAAAAAAGAAAGGGGCTTGCCTGGTGGCGCAGTGGTTGGGAGTCCGCCTGCCGATGCAGGGGACACGGGTTCGTGCCCCGGTCCGGGAAGATCCCACATGCCGTGGAGCGGCTGGGCCCGTGAGCCACGGCCGCTGAGCCTGTGCGTCCGGAGCCTGTGCTCCGCAACGGGAGGGGCCGTAACAGTGAGAGGCCCGTGTACAGCAAAAAAAAAACAAAAAAACAAAAAAAAAAGTTGGAGCCATCTGGTCAGAGTGTTGTGCAGGGATTTGCCATCTCCGAGGTCAGTTATTTCAGCTAAAATTTCCTTTAAATTTTCAGTTATTGAAGTGTGTCTCTGGTGTCAAAAATCTCAGACTATAAATATCCTACACTGTGGGTCTAGAGGAGGGGAAGCTGCTCTAACTCAGTTCACTTTCATGAATAACAGGAGCTGGAAAAAAGCCTGAGGGTTGAAAACAAACGTCATGGAGAATTGTCACCACTTCTTGTTCAGGCTTAAGAAAGGCCAGATAAAATGAAAAAATTAGGAGGATACCAGATATGACCGTCCATACAGAAGAGCCTTCCAGATATCTGTTTTCTGTCAGCAATGGATTTTAGTAGATTTTCAGATAAAATATTATTTGGAGGTTGTTTCAGAAAAGATAATTGGGTAATGGGAGTTTTAGCCAATACTATCATAGAGGGTACAGATGAAAGAAAACAGCAAAGAAGAAAACCAGAGACTATACGAAAGAGGGTGCACTGGGTAATGTTATAACTGTACTTCTCAAGTAGAAGCTCATGGTGGAGAACAATGCCTGCTAATAAGAAGTGTGTCTTATTTGTATTCTATCTAGGTTCTGAGCTATGGGTTGGGAGAAGAAATAGGCACCTTGATTTGGAGAGCTTCCACTAGAAGGAAATGATTTGGAGCCCACTGAGTAAGATTAACTGGGCACAGGGACATATAAATAAAAATTTCCTCCAGGAAACACCATGGGTAAGGTCTAGTGGGTGGATTGGGACGGTTAGAGTCCTGTATGGTTCTGAGATGGAAACAGAACTATAAAGTCAACATGATGCCTGTGAATACACAAAGGAAACCCTGTAGCCCAACTATTGTGATAACATACAGTAATCCGAGGCCTCTGAAAGCCTTGGTGGACCTAGCTAAGGCCTGACATTGTTCCCAATAGGGGAGGCATTGTGATGCCAGATATATTTTTTTTTTTTTTTTTTTTTTTGCGGTACGCGGGCCTCTCACTGTTGTGGCCTCTCCCGT